AAATAAGTGGTATAGTTTAATATGATTGGAATTCGGAGAAGGGCACTGTCACTTCGTCGTGTGTTGATCCTGGAGTGCCTTGGAGGTAGTGAGGCCTGAAGGGAAGGAAGAGAGAGACTCAGAAAAGCAGAGAAGGAAGCAGGCACTTCCAGCAGAGAGAATGGAGAGAGCAGAGGCAGGCAAGCGGGGACTCACTGTGGCGATTAGGGAAGGGGGGTCCTGTTGCCTGTGGGCCCAAACAGAGCCTCCTGTTGGGCTGGTGATGGAGTCGCAGGGGAGAAAGCAGAAGACACCTACGGGGGGACCTTGAATATCAGGCGAAGGGACGTTCGCATCTGAGCATAGAGGTGGCATGTGGAGAATACATTGTAGAACAAATCTGGGAACGATTGGCTTCAGACGTAGGCACTGAGACACGAAAACGCCTGGACTTCGGGGTCAGTCATTCTGCTGTCATCAAGGGCTGACAGAGCACCTCCTGTGTAGTAGTGGGAAGGCTGTGGAATGAAAAGTGAGGGAGCACTTGTGCAAGATTGTGTTGGGGGTTGGACAGATGAGACAAGGAGTGGGAGGGGAGATGGGAGGAGTTAGGGCTCCTCCCTTCCCCACACCCACAGGTTTTAGGGTTTGGCAAACAGTGGCCCACAGGCCCAGTCCATCCAGATGCCTGTGTTTGTAGAGTGGTTTTTACATTTTTAAATGATTTGTTTTAAATCAGAACAAGAACAGTATTTCGTGATATATGAAAATGATATGAAATTCAAATTCCACTGTCCATAAATAAAGTTTTTCTGGAGCACAGCCTGGCTTGTCCATTTATATATTGTCTATGGCTACTTTCACATAATAGCAGCAGGGTCGAGTGGTTGGAGCAGAGTCTGCATGGCCCACAGAGCCTTAAATATGTGCCATTTGGCCCTTTATGGAAACCTAGTACACCCTTGAACACACCTGTCCTTACCTCAGTCCCTCTCTGCTCTCAAGTTGCCTGTCCCTCTTCCCACCTGAGGTTTTTCCCTCCACTAGCCTTTTATTAATTAATTAATTTTAAGATTTTATTTATTTGATAGAGAGAGACACAGCGAGAAGAGGGAACACAAGCAGGGGGAGTGGGAGAGGGAGAAGCAGGCTTCCCGCCGAGCAGGGAGCCCGATGTGGGGCTCGATCCCAGGACCCTGGGATCATGACCTGGGTCGAAGGCAGATGCTTAACGACTGAGCCACCCAGGCGCCCCTCCACTAGCCTTTTAAATACCCTTCTCTTTTTTATATTCCTCTCAGATCCTCAGCTTCTCTTTTTTTCCGGGACCTTTCTCTTTCCAAATATGCTCAGGACCTACCCTACTCAAAAAAAAAAAAAGAAAGAAAGAAAGAAATCCTCATCAACTCAGAAGCCCTCTCTTGCTGCTGCTGTCCATCTCTCATCTTTACCTCCACTTCACCTTTGGTTTATTCACCTTCCTCCAGACTTCGGGCCCCAGCAGTCCATTAAAACTAGCCTTGCTAAGCCATTAGTGATTCCTAGCTGTTGGATCCAGGAGTTGCCCCAGTCCTGTCTTCCTTATTTTCTTGGACATTTCATGTTTGGATCATTCTTTTTCCTTGAGATCCTTTTTCTGTTGGCTTCTGTGCCATCGTTCTCCTTGGCATCTCTTCCTGTTTTCCCCTCCCCTCCCCCCACTCACCTGTCAGTGGCTTCTCTTCTTTTACCAGCACCTTACACATTGGTGACTTTCCAAGGTCTAGCCTTTGTCCTCTTACAAGAGCTATTATTTTATTGTATGCCTATGATACGCCTGTCACCATATTTAAATGCTTTACACAAATTATTCTTTTTTTTTTTAAAAGATTTTATTCATTTATTTGAGACAGAGAGAATGAGAGAGACAGAGAGCACATGAGAGGGGGGAGGGTCAGAGGGAGAAGCAGGCCCCCCGCGGAGCAAGGAGCCCGATGCGGGACTCGATCCCGGGACTCCAGGATCATGACCTGAGCCGAAGGCAGTCGCTTAACCAACTGAGCCACCCAGGCGCCCCTACACAAATTATTCTTGATCCTTACAACAAACCTAAAAACACAGGTTTTGTTTTCTCCATGTTATAGATAAGCAAAGTGAGGCTTAGTGCACTTAAGTAATTTTCCCAAGGTTACAGAATAAGTGGCAGAGCTGGGCTTGAACCAGAGCCTGCTATAGGTTAAGTCATCTACGTGTACTGATGACTCCTGCCGTAGGCTTTCCTTTCAGCTTGCAGCCTGTATGTCTATCTACTAGAAGTTTCTACCTGGAAGTCCTCGCACCACCTCAAAGCCAACTCATGATCTCTTCTCCACCCTCCATCCAGCCCCAGCTTGGTGATGTGACCATCTGTTTAGTCATCCAGGCCATACTCTTGACCTCTACTTTGCCTCCGCCTAACCCCTTCTGCTTCTCTGCACCCAGTTGCCACTATGGCCAGTCATTCCTCCCCCTTTAATTTCTCTGGAATTCATTTCTCATACTGTCCACTCTCACTTCCTTGTTCAGGTTCTTCTCATCCCCTCCTGGACTAATGTCCCTCTTCTCTTAGTCTCTATGCCTTCTTCTGTTCTCTTACCCTTCCAGTCCATCTTCCACTAGGCTACCAGAAGGATCTCTCCTAAACTGCAGATCTGATATGTTGCTCTTTTGGTTGAAATCCATTGGTGAGCCCCCATTGTCCTATTCTTCTACTCCATAGCTTGACTAAGGAGGCCTCACCTTATTTTTCTAGATCCTTCTCCTTATAGTCTCTTATATACTGCAGGTATGTTTGTGGTTCACTGTACCAGCACACTCATTCCTCTTTCCATGCAGTTCCCAAGGTGTCACCTCTTTTTTTTTATTTGAGAGGGGGTGCAGATGGAAAGGGAAAAGCGGACTCCCCACTGAGCAGGGAGCCTGATGTCTCGATCTCACAACCCTGAGATCATGACCTGAGCTGAAGTCAGATGCTTAACCTACTGAGCCACCCAGGCACCCTGTGTCACCACTTTCTAGACTGCCCTTCTCTTCCTGGTTTGTCTGAGGAACACATTTTCAGTTTATCCCTACAACAGACAGGCAAGTGAAAAAAACACTTCAGAGAGAGGACCTCAGCTTCTGAGCCTTTTACTACTTCTAGTCTTTCCAGGAAGAGTTAGGTTTCCCTTTTTTATATTCCCTAGGCACCTTGGGCAAATATCTGTTGCTGGGCTCAGCATAGTTTATAATAATTTGTGCACATATACCTCCTTAAAATTGGCACTCCTTAAAAGCAGAGATTTTTGTCTTGTTCACTTGTTATCTGATATGGTATCTAGCTTGTTGCCTGGGACCTGAGAGTTCAGTAACTGTGGAATGAATACTAATAGTGTAGTTGGAGATGTGGACTGGCTTTGGAGCAAGGTCGGGTCAAAGGATGAAGATGTTGGCGAAAGCTGAAGAGGAGACAATACTAGCACCCTGGTGTGTACAGCATCAGATCATTCACCACGTATTTTCACAAATGTTTGATCTCATTTCGTTCCACTCCACAGCACATGAGACAGGCAGGGTAGGCATTAATACTCATTTGAGAAATAAAGAACTGAGGCTCAGAGAAGCAAAATGAGTTGCGGAAGGTCTTGAACATAAGTGCCAGAGATTCAGTCTCCTCCAGCCACATCTAAGGCTGCTTCCCTTGCACTGGGCAGGCATGGGAGGGGAGAGATAAGTTCCAGAATAAACCTACATATCAAGGTGAAGGGAAAGGCGTGGCTTCGAGGAGAAGAAGATAAAGAGAGCCCTGTGGGATTGCTGTGCTGTGAAGGACAAGTTTTCAGGAAGGGAGGGCGATGCAAGAGGTTTGCAAATAAGTGAAGGCAAATGGAGAAGGATGGAAGGGTTTGGCCACTGGGAAGTGCAAGAGAATAATTTCCTGCAGTGAAACCAGCTTGCCAAGTTGTTAAGGAATATGTGGGCATCGAGGGAGAGGGAGGCACACATGTATGCCACCCTCTCAAGAAGTTTGGCGGTGAAAGTGAAACCGAGAGGCTGGCATTTTGAGAAATGTCATACCAGCAAATACTCCAAGAATTTCACGATACAGTATTTTCATTTCATAGACTTGAAACTTTGCAGTGGAAACTATGCTAGGGAGATACTGCTTGATGACTGAGTATGTCAATGTCAGGATATTTTAGACCCAGTTTAACATTGGTCAATTCCAATCAAGGTGGGGTGCCATAAAGCAGGGTGTTTAATCAAGCCTTAAAACAAAGTCAAGGGGGCGCCTGGGTGGCTCAGATGGTTAAGCGTCTGCTTTCGGCTCAGGTCATGATCCCAGGGTCCTGGGATCGAGTCCCACATCGGGCTCCCGGCTCAGCGGGGAGCCTGCTTCTCCCTCTGACCCTCGCCCCTCTCATGCTGTTTCTCTCTCGCTCGCTCTCTAAAAAATAAATAAAATCTTTAAAAAAAAAAAAACAAAGTCAAGGGACGCCTGGGTGGTGTAGTCGTTAAGCGTCCAACTCTTGATTTCGATCTCAGGGTCATGAGATTGAGCCCCGTGTCAGTCTCCGTGCTCAGTGGGGAGTCTGCTTAAGACTCTCTCTGTCCCTCCCCCCTGCACACACAGTCTCAGTCTCTCTTTCTCTTCCTAAAATAAATAAATAAATTTAAAAAAAAACACAAAACAAAGCCAAAATGTTATTTCAGTATAGGTAACTGTAACAGTGTGGGCCCACCTTTAGATGCTAGATGTATGCTAAGAGTTTGAAAACCCCCCTTAGTATATTCATTTAGAATATTCATCTGCCTACAAGCTTATCTCATCCCTGTGACTTATTATTTGTTGTTCTGGCGTGATTTGATCAAGGGGAAGATTTCCCCACTTTGTTGTTAGAGGTTGTTTTCTGTGTTTATGATTCCGACCTCTGTGTCCACATTTCCTGGGAGCCAGGCTCTGGGGGCAGTTAGGCCCTGGGCAGCTCTTCTGTCCTATTGATGAGGTGTCCTTTGTCTGCCAGGTAAAGCGGTACCAGTGCACCTTTGAGGGCTGTCCCCGCACCTACAGCACAGCAGGCAACCTGCGCACCCACCAGAAGACTCACCGAGGAGAGTACACCTTTGTCTGCAATCAGGAGGGCTGTGGCAAGGCCTTCCTCACCTCCTACAGCCTCAGGATCCATGTGCGAGTGCACACGAAGGAGAAGCCATTTGAGTGCGACGTGCAGGGCTGTGAGAAGGCGTTCAACACGCTGTACAGGTCGGCCTCTCCTCCAGCCCCTGTCCCTGGCCTTGTGATTGCCGAGCCCTCTCCTTGCCCTGTGCAGATGGGCAATTCCAGTGCTTTAAAGGGCACAGCTGGGGCGCGCCTGGGTGGCTCAGTCCGTTAAGCGTCCGACTCTTGGTCTCAGCTTAGGTCTTGATCTCAGGGTCGTGAGTTCAAGCCCCGTGCTGGGCTCCACGCTGGGTATGGAGCCTACTTAAAAAAATAAAATTAAAAAATAAAGAGCACAGCTGTGCTCTCGAATGTTTAAAATTCGCTGGAGGAACTTACTTAAAGATTGACGTATATGGGGTTGGTTAAAAAGGATAGTACATTCGTGTTCAGATTTGTATCTCCGGGAGTGACATACTGGCCTGGGGATTTTAATACTTGTACTGTTGCCTCCCCTTGGCTCAGGGTCTTGTACAGAGGCTTCTGTCATTTTCTTTCCCTCCTCACCTTGAAGATAACTTTTTCTACCACTCGTTAGCCAGTTCTCTTGTACACGTTTGTATCAGGAGACTTCTATTAGTCTTCAACTTTGGGTCTAAAATAACAAATGTGGCAATAGCTAACGCTTAGGAAGCACTCACCGTGTGCTAAGCACTGTCCTGAGTTCTAATCCTCACAGAGCTGTTACGTAAGTGGAAGCACAGAGAGGTTTTGTACCTGGCTCGAGGCTCCCCCATCCAATAGGAAGTGGGACCAGGATTTGAGTCCCAGGCAGTCTGGCTGCACAGTCACACTCCTACCACTAGGCTACATACTTCTCTGAATTTCTCTTCAAGCAAAAAATTTTGCACACTAGTATATTATGGATATGGAATTCTTAGGCACTGGATCCTGAAGCACATTAAGCTGACATGGGAGGGGAAGCTCTGTCGTACATTATGCAAATGACCGAGGGACTTTGTCTCTGGACTGTCTCGCAGGCTGAAAGCACATCAGAGGCTTCACACAGGGAAAACGTTTAACTGTGAATCCGAAGGCTGCAGCAAGTACTTCACCACACTCAGTGATCTGAGGAAGCACATTCGAACCCATACAGGAGAAAAGCCATTTCGGTAAGTCTTACTGTCGTCTGTTTGTCGCTGACCAGGTTGCAGCTGGGTGTCGTCATGTGGCCCTGACATTTTTCAAAGTGGAAAGAGAATTCCCTCCGCTAGTTCTTTGGCAGCTACAACCAACTGCTGCACACGGGAGGCGTGGCGATGGGTTCTAAGAGCATCCTTACTCTGGACTCTGGTGGTAGCCTTTCCGCCTCATGCTTTCCCTTTTTCAACGAGCAGTTGTTGAAACTCACTTAAGGTGGGAGGCACTTTTATCGGTGCTAGAGAAATACTAAGACACACGCTCTTCTCTTGGGCACGTAGTCTGGTGAGAAAGAAACCCCCAGTAACCAGACAGTACATGAGACCGAGGTGCTCAAACGACTGAGCACAACGGAAGGGAGAGCTACCTAAAAATCGAGGTGGGGAGAGGAGACGATGAGAGGGGAGATGAGGGGTAAGAATGCAGGTATTTTATTTTGTGGCTTGTTTAGTTGTTGCCTTGTAATACGTGTGTATTCACACATATAGGAGCATCCATTTTTGTCTGTATTTCAATCTATATATACATGTGTATATATGTGTATTTAATACATACACGTGTAAACGGGTAACCTTGAAGGAAGGACTTGTATCATCTACCTTCTTCTCTACTCATAGTGTAGAGTGTGGGTCTGGGCATTCAGTAGGGGTTCAAAAACAACTTTGGGATGATTATATGACTTTTTTATTTACTTATTTATTTATTTATTTTAAAATTTTTATTTGTTTATTTGACAGAGAGAGAGAGACAGCGAGGGAGGAAACACAAGCAGGGGGAGTGGGAGAGGGAGAAGCAGGCTTCCTGTGGAGCAGGGAGCCCGATGCGGGGCTCGATCCCAGGACCCTGAGATTATGACCCAAGCCGAAGGCAGACGCTTAACGACTGAGCTACCCAGGCGCCCCTATATGACTTTTTAAATAAGATCATCAGTTTGTAAGGATTTCCCCTAAATATAATATAGATGTATTATTGAAAACTTGCCCATAAACATTGTCTCTGAATTGTGGCAGGAGAGACTGCTGTTACGTACATGGCATCAAATATGCTACCTTCCCCCTCTCCTTATCAGGATCCTTAGATGGTGCCCCTGTCTTCAGGGGCAGTCAACTCTTAAACATCAACTGAATGGAATGGTGTTTTAAAATTAAAGATTTGGGGGCGACTGGGTGGCTCAGTTGTTAAGCGTCTGCCTTCGGCTCAGGTCATGATCCTAGGATCCTGGGATCGAGCCCCGCATCGGGCTCCGTGCTCGATGGGAAGCCTGCTTCTTCCTCTCCCACTCCCCCTGCTTGTGTTCCCTCTCTCGCTGTGTCTAATAAATAAATAAAATCTTTAAAAAATAATAAAATTAAAGATTCATTCCTGAGTCATAGCCCCTCTAACGGCAAGAGTATTTATTTATTTAGTAAGTAAGTAAATAAGTAAGCTGTATGCCCAACATGAGACTTGAACTCAAAACCCTGAGATCAAGAGTCGCATGCTCTACTGACTGAGCCAGCCAGGTACCCCTGAAAGTAAGAGTATTTAAATTCTAGTTGGTTACTCTCCACATTTTGCGACGCTTGGGTTACTTTTTCCTCCATAGGGCTGTTGAGGGGACTCTAATTTCTATTCAATCACATGCATTTTTTGAGGGTTAAAACTGCTAATTTTTCTTGAATATTAGATGGAGCTTTAGACACATGATTATATATTATTAAGAAGTAAAATGCTCCAGAGAAGCTTTCTATTTAAAGAAATAAAATACTTTGGCTTACAAGAAAATGCATTCATTCATATAAATAGTTACTGAATGTCTGCTGTGTGCAAGAACTACAGCAGATGTAAAGGACTACTTGGACCCTGCCCTCAAAGAGTTTATAATCTAGGAGAACAGATAACAAATGTATACACATAGAGATAAAATAAGATTGGAAATGACAGATGCCATAAAAGAAGCACATAGATAAATGCCTCAGGAGTTCTCAGGAGGGAGAGATTACTTCCAGCGCTGGTTATCAAGAAAGTAAAAGAGAAAGAAATGGATCTTGACACTGAAGATTATGAATAAGTCATTACAACCACTATACATTCTATATTATATGGTCAATGTAGTTGGGACTGATTTTGTTGTAGTGTTATATTTTAGGCCTCCTGCCTCTGTGAGAGCCTCTGTTCCCACTATTGACATCCCTGGTATTCCACTGGCAGTAGATTTTCCATATCGGCTCTGGATCGTCAATAGAATTCTGTTAAGTAATTCATCAAAAGACTTTTATTGTCAGAACTCTCAACATGTGACTTACTTGTAGGACAAGAAATATTTATCCTGGATCATCAGTTCCCTCTGTTCCCAGATCTGTCACTTTTTCCAGTGACCTATCTCCATTTCCCATCTCTAAAACCAATTTCCTCGATGAGACCTCAGTGTTCTGAACATGTGTTTTAGTTTGAGCTTGTATTTATAAGAGATGGTGACGATAAAGACCTGTTTCCCTAATGACTGCTGTTTCTTTTGCTTAAACAACTTCCTTAGGTGTGATCATGATGGCTGTGGGAAGGCGTTCGCGGCAAGCCACCACCTTAAAACTCACGTCCGTACACATACTGGTGAGTTTAGGCTGATTTGTAGTTTTCCTCTTAACCTTCATCAAGCCAGTAAGTATCTGTGTTTCCCTTGGGACCTGTAGAGCTTCGTGGAAGGAGCAAGCCTAATCAGCTTAGCCTTCACCTATAATGTTTGAGCTTCTTCCAGAGGTAAAAGGATCTAAAGGTTGGACTCAGGAATCCAACCTTAAGAAATGAAACCAGTGCAGAGATTCTCAAAAGAAGAAGCTGGGGGGGGGGGGGGGAACATATCTTCTCTTTAAACTTACCAGGGCAGGCTATGTTTGTTCTACATTCAGTTTTAGGACTGAAATGGTTAACATGTAATTTGTCCAACTTGTAACAACTGTTACCTGAACCCTCAGGAATATTTACTTCCCTCTGTTAGGGAAAAGTAGATGTCTGAATCCAGTGAAATGACTATGGGAATATTAACACTATTTGTCATTCTTGCAGGTGAAAGACCCTTTTTCTGCCCCAGTAATGGCTGTGAGAAAACATTCAGCACTCAGTACAGTCTCAAAAGTCACATGAAAGGTCACGATAACAAAGGACATTCATACAATGCACTTCCAAATCACAATGGATCAGAGGTGCGTGGTGTTTTGTCCCTTGTTTTGATCTGGGCAACATGGAACAGCAACATTTGTTTGTGTATCAAAATAAAAGGTTAAAACATCTTCTCTATGTATCCGTCAGTGAGAGGGAAGAAATCAGGGTCAAGATCTGTGTCTTTGTGACAGGATGGTGCAAGCCAGAAATTTCACCAGGCGCCCTGTACTTCAGCTTTTGATTCGGCTCTGCCTCCTTCCCATCAGATATGGTGCAAGAGGTGCCTTGTAACCAGAGGTCTCAGATGGGTCAGCCAGATGCTCTAAAAGGGTCTTATTTTCTCATTTGTGTCTACAAAATGGTACATCTGTACTTGAGTTTGGAACACAAATTAATGCTTTGCTTCATACATCTGTTTAATCTATCATTGGAGAACCAGGCAGAATCTGGAAGGTTCCTTGCCCTTTTGAACTGTCTGTAGGCCAGAAGGTTTGAGAGCCACTGACAGGAGGTGCTGAACCACAGAACATTATTCTGCAGTTTTGGACAGTTGGTCTGTTTTTTGCCAAGGCCCTCTACCATATTTCCCTCTCCTCTGCAGCTCCATTCTGGAGAGGTCCTAGGAGAAATTTGCCGTTTTTACTTCTTCTTCTTCTTTTTTTTTAAGATTTATTTATTTATTTGAGGGAGAGAGAGAGAGCGACAGAACATGGGGAGGGGCAGAGGGAGAGGGAGAGAAGCAAACTCCACTAAGTGTGGAGCCCAGTATGGGGCTCGATCTCACAACCCTGAGATCACAACCTGAGCGGAAATCAAGAGTCAGATGTTTAACCGACCGAGCCACCCAGGCACCCCTACTGTTCTTACTTCTAACATATTGGGCACTTATGTATGTCTCTTAAACCTGGGAAGTGAGTATTATTATTATCTTACTATTTCATAGATAAAGGAACTGAAACATACTGACCTCCTTTTGAAAAATGAGGTTTTTACCTGAAGTAGGCAATACGATTTTGATTTGGGGAGAGACAGCATACTTTAATTCTCTGGTTTCCAATTTTTAAATAGCAAAGGATCCCTTCAAACAGATTCTGCCCCTGTATCTTATTAGTAACAATAACTAACATTTACTGAGTGTTTACCTTGTGCCAGATTCGGTGCTAAGTGTTTTTATATGGATTATCTCACTCAGAAGAGCTCTGTGAGGTCAATACTGTTATTAGCGCCACATTACCAGTAATGAAACTTTTGAGACAAGGAGAAATTAAATGACTTGCTTAAGTATCCAAAGCTTTTAATTACTCTAATTGAGACAGGCAGTCTGATTCCAGAGCCTGGTTCTTGACCCCTGTGTTGTGAGAGGCAAAATAACGTTAGCTGTGACGGCTGTGGCCTGTGGAGCTCAGCTTCCTGAATTCAGATCCAAGCTCTGCTATTGATCAGATGGATGCCCTTAGGCAAATGGCATCTTTGTGCCTCAGTTTCCTCTTCTGGAAAACCAGATAAAAACATTAAGATCCGAGAGTCTTCATCTACTAAGCTGCCTGTACTAAGTCGTGATCAATCTTCTCATTCATGTGACAATCCAAGGACACTTTAATTGGTGACAGCCCCTAAGCACTGGGACGCCCCAGTGCATGGTGCTCAGATCTCGTCTTCTCTGGGTCACAGCTCATTCCCCAGTAAAGGGAAGCTCCTCTCGTCCCAGGCTTTCAATGCCATCTAGATTGCCTCTAAGTCCTAAATAAAGATCTCCAGCCTGGATCTCTTCCTGAACTCTAGCCTTGTACAGACAGGCCCCACTTAGGATGGTTTGATTTTATGGGTGTGAAAGTGATATGCATTCAGTACAAACCATACTTTGAATTTTGATTTGAATCTTTTTCTGGCCTAACAGTAGGCTGTATGATCCTCTCTTGTGATGCTGGGCAGTGGGAGCAAGCCACAACCCCCTGTGAGCCCTGTAATCACAAGGGTAAACAACTGATAACACTTCCAACTATTCCAGACCCATTCAACTGGTCTGTTTTTTCCCTTTCAGTACAGTATTCAGTCAGTTACAGGAGCTAGTCAGCACTTTGTTATAAAATCAGCTTTGTGTTAAATTATTTTGCCCAATTATAGGCTAATGTAAGCGTTCTGAGCGCGTTTCAGGTAGGCTAGGCTAAGCTGTGATGTTTAGAAGGTTAGGTATTCAGTGCATTTTCAACTTAGGCTGGGTTTATCAGGACGTAGCTGCACTATAAGTTGAGGAAGAGCAATATATTCAGCCTCCCTCTTCAACCCAGAAAACATCAGTCTTCTCAAATTTGATATGTCCAAACCTCCTCCACCTACAGGTCCCCACCTTAGTAAATGGTACCTCTGTGTTTTTAGTGGCACAGACCAAAAGTCTTGGAGTCGTTCTTGATACCGCTTTCTTTCCCCTCATATCCCACATCTGCCAGCAAAGTCTGTCAGCTCTACCTTGAGAATATACGTAGAATCTGATCATTTCTGATAACTTTGTTCAGGCTGCTGTCACCTTTTTTCTGGATTACTGCGGTAACCACTAAGTGATCTTCCTCACACCTTTCTCCTTCTCCCTACTCCCACTCTGCCTTGACGCAGACTGGTTTACCTATTTCACCCAGGGCAATCTTTCTAAACCATAAGGCAAATAATGTCTGTTCTCTGTTCATAACTCTCCAGTAGCTTCTTGCATCACTTAGAGCAAAAGTCAGAATCTTACAGTGGCCCACAGGGCCCTATAGATTCTGGTCTGGTCACTTCTCTGGCCTCATTTACTTCTCTTTCTCTCATTTTAGCTGTACTGTCCTCTTCGTAGTGCCTCGAACAAGGGAAGCCCATTCCTGCCTCCAGGCCTTTGTACTTGCTGTACCCTCTGCTTAGAACACTTTTCCCAGAGATGTGCATGGCCCATGCTCTCTTTCCTTCAGTATCTGCTCAAATGCCAGCTTACCTAAGAGGCCTCCTCTGATCTAATAAAAGGGCATCTCCTGCTCTGGCATTCCCTATTCCCTCTACCCTCCGTAGCACTTAGCATCATCTTGTATTCTTCGGGGATTTTGTCACACCCCCCCACCCCAGTGTAAGCTCTATGGTGGCAGGGACCTTGTTTTTTGTTTGTTTGTTTGTTTGTTTTATTCTTATGTTAATGGCAGGGACCTTGTTTTGTTCATTATTGTATCCCTGGGCCTGGAACAGTTCCTAATACATAGTAGACGCTCAGTGACTATTTGTTGAATGCATGTATGAATGGAAACATCTGATCCATGAGGTAAGCAGGGATACCACCTAAAGTGTGTGAATTGCAGCTGGCATTCTAGGAATCCAGAGTTCAGAGTTAGCCGAGGCAGTCGTATTTGAAAGCAAGTCCTCAGTACTGCTGAGTAAGAATCCCTGGGATGCTGGGGACACAGCGATACAGTAGTGGAGTTCCCATCAGCACTGGGTTTGTGTTTCTGCTAATTAGCTATGTGATTTTGGACAGTTCACTGTCAGTCTTAGCATTAATTTTCTCATACTTTAAATGGGAATATAAAATACTTCAGGTTCGGGGTGCCTGGGTGGCTCAGTTGGTTAAGCGACTGCCTTCGGCTCAGGTCATGATCCTGGAGTCCCAGGATCGAGTCCCCCATTGGGCTCCCTGCTCAGCAGGGAGCCTGCTTCTCCCTCTGACCCTCCTCCCTCTCATGCTCTCTCTCTATCATTCTCTCTCTCTCTCAATAGTAAATAAATAAAAATCTTAAAAAAAAAAATAAAATACTTCAGGTTCATATGAATAGCAGATGAGGTCATGTGAAATTGCTTTTTGTAAAGGATAAAACCAATTATACAAATATTACTAATTTCATATTATTACAGCTTTTGTTACTTGGAGCCGGAGTCATGAGATTTCTTAAACTCTTCTATTAACCATCTTTAAGAAATATAAGACAGTCTTCTAAGAATATCAGGATTTTAAAAATTAAAATAATTCACATAGCCCTTTCTTTGGATGGTTTTTACCTCTCCAAGTAACAAATCTTGACATTTGGAACCATAGGGACATTGTGATCAAGTGTTTTATTACATGCTATGCTACTATAAATTCTGATTTTTTTGTTACTCAGTTAGAATTTTTTCTCTTTCACAGGATACAAATCACTCACTTTGTCTGAGTGACTTGAGCCTTCTGTCCACAGATTCTGAACTGCGAGAAAATTCTACAGTAAGTGTACCTGTGATATGAGTATGAGAAAAATAAGTGCAAGAATTGAGTGCTTCCCTTTGGTGGGAAAATTGAGGGAGGCCAGCCTTTGCAGTCTTCCAGATTTGGTTATGTCCAGTTACTGACCATTTAGGGCTGTTTTGGTTTATTTCCCGATAGAGCCCCCATGGGAGAGGTTGTTCTCTCTGATGTCTAATGCCTTTTGACCCATGTCACTCACTCGATAACCTCTGGCCCCAGGAAATTTCTTTCTTTTATTCGCTTAGCCAATATCTGTTGACGACCTAGTCCATCAGGCAGTGTGCTGGTGCTGAGCTTGTAGTGGTAGAAAAGTAGGTGTGGTCTGTCCTTGAGGAGTTTGAAATTAGTCCACGATACGGGGAGGGCCAGAATTCAGCAGAAGTCCAGTTTGCAGACTTCCTCAAGCCCTGCTGATCTGACCAGAGTCTGTATTTGTCTTTCTTTGAGCTCACTGCATTGGGTTCCTGAAGGGAACCTTCTCTATAAGCTCTCTTCTAAAGAGCAACCCCACTGTCTCTTGATCTGATGGCTTCAGTTCACTCTGTGTGGAATTTCCCTGCCATTCCTGTGGCTCCATGATGTGCCTCGTAGGCCACTGCCTGAAGCCTGAGCTTATGCTCCTTCATGAGGATCTGTGCTTTGCTCTGTCACCAACACTGGTTGTTAAGTGTGCATTGTTTGTTGTTCTTCTATGGTAAATAAACATAACTTAAGTTGGATTTTCTATGAGTATATGCGTAAATAAGAAGGAATCAATGTGATAGGCGGTATTTGAATAGAGGCGGAAAGACTCAGGAATGCCCTGAAATGTGTGCTGGTTCCCAGAGTGTGTCAGTGGGGTCATCTGCAGCGCTTCTGACGACGTGGCTTCTTGGGCCTCACCCCAAGCCTGCTTCATCAGTATCCTCTGGGAATGGCATCTGACACTGCATTTTTATCTAAGCACCCCAAGGCTTGGATTCTTCTGGTAATGGCAGAGTTGCTCTTAACAGACCAACCCTCCCATAGAAAACAACCTCATATGCTGGCCAAATGATCAAGAACAACTACTTGAAGGCACCAAAGAGCAGCCCCCAAAAAGGCAGAGGTAAAGATTGGAAGAAGGAGCCACGTGGACAATGGCAAAGGGACTGGATAGGTTTTCAAGTTTTATGGCTTATCAGCCTCAGGGCAAGCCCCAGGTGACACCAAACAAGATGGCTAAAACTCAGGAAACATTCAGGCTCACTGGCTTGAATAACCAGAGGACAGAGTTCCTAGCTACCACAGCAGCACCTGGCAAGTGAAGAGACACAAAGTGGGAGCCCCAGGCTCTTTGTATAAACTGTTCACCTCTCTGGTTGGCCCCCGAACTGTGCGTGTGTGAGACCGACCCTAAGCAGCCCAGCCAAGGCTGAGGAGCTGGACAGAGAGGCAGCCGCTGTCCCCTGCAGGGAAGACCGAGTTTGCGGTTGGAGCCTAGCCAGATCAGCAGAATAGTCAAGCTGACAAACAGACACTCTTCCAGGAAGTGTAACAGAATCCAGAGTCTCTACAACATATCATTTACAATGTCCAGGGTAATCTAAAATTAGTAAATGTAAGAAGAAAGAGGAAAACATTACCCCTACTCAAAGCAAAGGTAATCTTGGAGACTAATCCCAAGATGAGCCAGGTGCTAGAATTCACAGAAAACGATTTTTTTTTTTAAGTTTATTTATTTAAGCAATTTCTACACCCAGTGTGGGGCTTAAACTCACGACCCCAAGATCAAGAGTTACATGCTTCACTGACTGAGCCAGCCAGGTGCCCCAGTAAACAAGAATTTCTAAGTAGCTCCTTCATGCTCAAGGACATAAAGGAATATGATTGTAGTAACTGAATAAATAGGAAATCTCAGCAGAGAAAAAGAAACTATAAAAAGTACATCAAATGGAAATTCTGGAACTGAAAATGTATCTGAAGTAAAAAATGTACTGGTTGGGCTTAACAGCAGATTGGAAATGACAGAAGAGAGAACAAGTTAAATTGAAGACGGAGCAATAGAAATGAACCAATCTGAAGAACAAAGAAAGACATCACATAAGCCCTTCACAGGATTTCACATATCAGAGCTAATAGTCTAAAATAAAATTTCCACACTGGACGGCCTCGATGCCCTCTGAGTTATGGAACCTAAGATTTCTGGGTATAATATCTCTTTAATCTCAGAGGTTGTATTAAATGGTTTGTTTAGGCGTCCACTCCCTGGCCAGGGCCATGACCTAGGACTAAAGAGCTTTCTGGAGCCCTGGGGTCATCAGGTGAGGAATCCTTCTTGGGGGGGCGGAAAAAGGAATGCCTTTTCTAACACAATTGACATCAGGGAGAGAGGCTCTGTCCCTTGGGGTCAAATTACATAGTGTACCCTCACCACCCATCATTTATTCCAGGATTGGAAATAGTCTCATTTGTAGTCTTTCATTCTAAGGCCACAATTCCTTGAAGCAATAGAATTAATTTTGCTTTGTTCTGCTTTTAAAAAAAAATGATGAATTGTTAATACTGAATGATACATTTTGACGAGGTCATCCTTTTCTAGGTTTCTGGGCAGCCATGTGTGTATGTGTGTCCCAGAAGTGAGCTTCGGTTTGCTCGGATCTTATGTTAAAGGAGGGTTGAAGTGGCTAGGGAATGATCCTCTGGGCATCTTTGCTCTTGAGCTCCGGGATCCATCTTGGTCCCTGACAGCTCCCAGGGTTCTTTGTCTCTCTGCTCCAGGCCCCAGAGGCTCAGCCTGTTCTGGTCTCCTCTACCTTGGGGAGCTGCTTGAACTCACTCTGCCCCCAGGGTTTGTGCTCTGAAGCCTGGCAGTGGCTGAGTCACGGTCCCTTCAGCACTTTTTTTTAAAAAATAGTTTTTATTGAAGTATAATATACATACAGAAAAGTATACCTATCACAAATGTACAGCTTGTTTTGTTTTGTTTTTTAAGATTTTATTTATTTATTTGACAGAGAAACACAGTGAGAGAGGGAACACAAGCAGGGGGAGTGGGAGAGGGAGAAGCAGGCTCCCTGCTGAGCTGGGAGCCCGATGCAGGGCTCAATCCCAGGACCGTGGGATCATGACCTGAGCCTAAGGCAGATGCTTAACGACTGAGCCACCCAGGCGCCCCACAAATGCACAGCTTAATGAATGATCACAATTCATCACATCCATGTAACCAGCACCCAAATCAAGAAATAGAACATTCCCAGCATCCCAGAAGCCTCCCACCCTCCATGCCCACTAACAGCTATTGCCTCTCCCTAAGGATAATCACTATCCCAACTGCTAACAACCTAAGATGGATTTTGCCTATTTTTGTGCTTTGTACAGTTGGAATCATGCCCGTTGTACTGGTTTGTGCTGGCTTCTTCCTGGCAACATCACGTTTAAGAAATGAATCCATATTGTTGCATGGTTGTAGATCATTGGTTCTCCTTGGTGAGCAGTATTACACTAAGTGAATGTACCACAATTTGGTCTTTCTGCTTCCCTTGGGCATTTGGATAGTTTCTAGTTTGGAGCCATCAGGATAGTGCTGCTGTGAACATTTTCGTAGGTGATCTTTTGGAGTCACACAGGCTTATTCCTTTTTAACAGCGTTACTGCGGATATTTTGTAAACAGGTAAAACAAAAATAACCACCATGAGGAAGTTGTAGAGCTGACAGCTTAGTGGGAGTTGTTAGCCCACTGCTTTTCAAACTGAGCTGTGCCTCTTTATTGGGTTATAAAGTAGGGGATTATGGTCAGCATTTTTAGGGTATCAGCACAACAGAGAGTATCAGAAGGCATTGCGTGTAGTAAGGATAACTCTCGTTTCGTAGACTTTTGTTACAGTTATGCATATGGATAGTTACGTAATGTGAGGCATGTATGTGTGTATATATAAAATGCATTTCTTACTTTGCATCATGATAAGACTTTGAAGGCCACTGTCTTGGCCTGTGATCCTTAACTCCCTCTGCACTGGGAGCAGAAGGCCTCATGTTGATTTGTGCCTTCAGTGTGTGTCATGCTGGAAATCAGATTCATCTTCCAGTCGATGGAATCATGCTAGAATAATGGCCCCCTTGGCTCAAATGGGCAGTTTCATCTTGAGGACCTCTAGGCTGCTGGACAGTTCCACTCACCACACTTGCCCAGGCCCAGAGTGATCCTTCCCCCTCCCAGAAGCAGAGTTGTTGCAAAATGACCTTTAAACACAAGTTGGCACTGACACAAAATATGGCCAGGAGATGGGTTTTGTTTGGTCTATACAGTGCTTTGTTTTCAGTTACTTGCTTTTAATTACAAGTCAGTAGAGTTCACGTAAAAAATCCAAATCTCAGACCATTCTTGAGCGCTGGAAATCCCCAGTCTGCACATCACAGGGCAGCGTTCCTCTGAAGCCCTTTAGGTGCCAGGGGCGCATGCTCTCCGGTTTGTCCCAGCCTCCCGTCCCCACCACCCTGGCTTCATTACTTGTGTTACCTGCCTGCTCTCCTGGAGGCATTTGCCTCTGTCACTCCTGCCCTACCAAATGTGGGTTGGAGCTGGACTAGAGGTAAAGATTTGCTGTCCCCTCCCCTTCACCAAAGAGAAGCCTAGAGGTGGCCATTTTATTTGGTGCCTATCAGGAGTCAGACGGTCAGGGCATTATGTTCCCCCCCCACACACACATTTTATCTTTTTAAAAATGCCTCTGACGTTTTCTTAATTCTTAATTACAAAGAAACTTGCAGTGACAAACAATAGTGAGTATAAGGCGATAACTACTGCCTCTCGTGAAAAGTTTTGTATTGTTTGATTCATTACCATGCATACATGTTAGACTATCATAGAAGTTATGTAATGACCTTGAAGGATACTCACAGTATATTATTACATGAGAAGAGCAGGTTGCAGGTAATAGATATTATACAATCCCATTTTTAGGAAGGATTTGGTCTTCTTTTAGGGCAGGGGTCAGGAAGCTGTTTTTTTGGAAAGGGCCGGATAGTAAAATATTTTTGGCTCTGCGGACTGCAGAGTCTCTGACAAAACTCAGCTCTGCCATCAGAGCATGAAAACAGCGTGGACAATAAATGAACGAGCATGCATCTGTTCTAGTAAAACTTTATTTCCCAAAACAGGCATGCAGTCTACAGGTCATAGTTTATGGGCTCTTGTTTTAGAGTATCTGAGGACCCAAATCTCCAGTGTCTGAGGTTGAGGGAAATAAATGTCACCTTGGAAAGGAAGAAGTTAGAAACAAGAAGCGTATCAAAAAAGATCATTCTAGTTCTGCTGCTGTGTGTTCTCTCCCGGTGAAGAATTGCCTCAGGATGACAAGTTTCACATCTTTGTCTCTGTCCATCAATCACAGGGCCAGGACCTCAGCACAATTTCACCAGCAATCATCTTCGAATCCATGTTCCAGAATTCCGATGATACAGCAATTCAGGAAGATCCTCAACAGACAGGTTTGTGCCACAGACTCTCTTCCTACTCACGTCTCGGCACCGGGCAAAGGAGTGAATCTCCCTCGGTGACACACCGATGCGGGCGCCATGAAGTAGATTTCAGTTCCCTTGAACAATGCGTGCGTTTGGTGAGGGCTCCGGGAAGTATGAGCCTTTTGTTTGATTCCATCTTTTCCTCTCCTTCCCTCAGCAAGAGTCTACTTGAGGGCCTGCTTTTCCTAGCCCTTCAAAAGAAGAGGGTCTCTTTCTCCAAAAGCTTTTGTTGGCTCTCAAAAATAAGAGGAGCTGTGAGCTCTTTCTTCTTCTGATGCGATACTGTGCTCATGAGTGGGCAGGATCCACGACCGGCATCAGATGCATAGATCCTTCTGTGTTTGAATGAAAATCTGTCCCTGAAGCTTCACAGCAGTCAGAAAGCGTGTTCGCTGCTTATGCCAAAAAAGGATGTTTAGTCTCTTTTCCAGAAAAGCCTTAGAATACATTTTTTTTTGTTACGGTGAAGCCTAGACTAGCTCCTCACATTTAGAGAGAGAGGTCGGTCGTGAAGCCTGGCGCATCGACCAGAGGGGTGATGAAATGGAAAGTGGGAAGCCAGCCTTCTAGGAATGAAGCTCTTGGCCCTAACGGACTTCAGCTGTCTTTGGTATCGCCATGATGACTGTGTTTTTGTGGCTCCTGTAAGGCTTGGGATATGTATATATATTTCTATTTTTTTTTCTTGCCAGCTGCCTTGATTGAAAGTTTTAATGGTGATGCAGAGTCAGTCAGTGATGTTCCGCCACCCACAGGAAATTCAGCATCTTTATCTCTTCCACTTGTACTGCAGCCTGGCATGTCCGAGCCACCGCAGCCTCTACTACCAGCCTCAGCACCGTCTGCTCCTCCGCCTGCTCCTTCCCTAGGAACTGGTGCCCAGCAAGCTGCATTTGGCAACCCCTCTGCTCTCTTACAACCTCCAGAAGTGCCTGTTTCCCACAGCACACAGTTTGCTGCTAATCATCAAGAGTTTCTTCCGCACCCCCAGGCCCCGCAGCCCGTCGTACCGGGACTCTCTGTCGTTGCCGGGGCTTCGGCGGCCGTACCAGGCGTGGCGGCACCGCCCCGATCACAAAGTACTACTGAGCCCCTGCCGGCCGTGGTCCAGACTCTGCCCCTGGGCGCCAACTCTGTCCTGACTAATAATCCCACTATCACCATCACCCCGACGCCCAACACGGCCATCCTGCAGTCCAGCCTGGTCATGGGAGAACAGAACTTGCAATGGATCTTAAATGGTGCCACCAGTTCACCGCAAAACCAAGAACAAATTGTAAGTACTCTGTCTAAACGGATCCAGTGGGGTGGAGTGTATTTACATAGGTGACATGTTCCCAGGTTTTGCTTCAGAAAGGAAAATGGTTATCATATCTGCCCCGAAACCTGTGATTCGGCCTCTTTGTCATTTTCCCCATGACCGAGTGGTAGAAATCCAGGGAATGCCATGATGCACACCTGCAACAGGAAAGCAGAGAAAGAGCCCTCCCGTTCTGCCAGGTAGCAGGAGGCACGTGAACGAATATTCCATCTGCAGTGTCACGCCACCATCCAGGACAGCAGAGCAGTCAACAGACTGCAGAGGCCCAAGAACAATTTAGGAAAGCGGGTTCTTCTCCAAGGCAGAGTCAGACTGATGTGAGGGGATGGTGGGACCCCATCAGGCAGAAAACACAGCAGTGGCCAAGTCAGAGAGATAATCTGTGCTCCCAGGGCCTCCTCGAGAGCCAGTTTCTACAGAAGTGTTTGGTCTCGATGATGAAGGAAATGACTTGGTCATTCAGTCAAATATATTTTGAGGGCCTGGTATTTTTTCTTTTTTTTTTAAGATTTTATTTATTTATTTGAGAGCCAGAGTAAGCAAAAGAGAGAGCACACAAGCATGGGCAGAGGCAGAGGGAGAGGGAGAAGCAGGCTCCCTTGCTGAGCGGGGGCTCGATCCCAGGACTCTGGGATCATGACTGGAGCCCAAGGCAGACGCTTAACCAGCTGAGCCACCCAGGTGCCCTGAAGGCCTGGTGTTTACCAGATACCATGCATGATACTCTTGGGGTTACAGAAAAGTGAAAACCATGATCTCTTTTTCATAAAAACTTACATTCTAGTTAAAGAGGCTAAAATGCCTCAAAGAAAGTTAACATTACCAGTAGGAAAAGTGCCAAATAATAATAAAAATGGTAATAAAAAAATAACTGCAGTGATTTATTGAACCCTTACTATGTGTAAGGGCTCACTGTGCTGATTAAGCACTTTTTGAAATTGAGGGTCTAACGTGCCAGTCATTACCTTACGTATATTATTCTTAGATTACCTTTTTTTTTTTTTAAATTTTATTCTACAGGTGGTACAGAGAATTTCCATACACTCCCTGGCCACCCCCACCCCCACCCCCGCCCACCCACCCAGTTTGCCCTGTTAGTAATGTCTTGCATTAGTCTGGCACATTTGTTACAGCTGATGAATCAGTATCGATATATTATTACTAACTAAAGTCCATAGTTTACATTAAGGCTTACTGTTTGTGTGCACCATTCTGTGGGTTTTGACAGATGCATGATGTCATGTGTCTCCCATTACTGTATTCAGAGTAGATTCACCACCCTAAAAATCCCTATTCAATTGTTCATCCCCTCCCTTAGCAACCACTGATATTTTTACAGTCTCTAAATGTCTGTATGTCTAAATGTGACCCACTGTGCTAACTAAGCACTTTTCAATGCTTTGCTCATTTAATCACAACAAGCCTAGGAGGTAGGTATGATTTTACCCCAGTGGAGAGCTGAGGCCCAGGGAAGTTAAGTGACTAGCTCAAGGTCACACAGCTCGTAAGTGGCAAAGCTGGGATTTGAGCATAGACAGATTGGTCCCAGAGCCTGTGCTCCTGACTACTACATCGTGCTGCCAGATGAGGGGTGCAGAGAGTCGGGGCTTGTTGGGTAGCCTTCCAGGGCAGGTGAGCCTTGAGGTATGAGGGGGAAATAGATGGAGAAAAGGATGTACCAAGTAGGAGAATGTCTGGGTAGATGTATGACGCTATCAAACTGAAAAGGTAGTCTAGGGCTGAACAGTGAGGCCAGGGCATTCAGATTCCATAGGTCAGGTGCCAGCCACCTCTGGAGGCCACCTGATTCCATGTTCAGATAGCCAGAGTCACTGGAAAGGCCTTTTTGGTGTCGTAATCCAATCTGCTCCATGTCATTTTTATCATTTTTTTTTTCTGGATCTGCCCTGGAGAGCTGCATGGGGCAGGTGTCATTCCTTTTCCATACAATTTATCTTTGTGTATGTAAATATGGGTCTCGTTTCTCCATCATTATTTTATAGTGTCAGCTAAGTCTGCAACTTAGCCAGAAGCTTTCACATTCCTCCTAGACTCAGCCAGGAGGGACCCTTTTCCCTCCTTAAAGGGATAAAAGACAAAGCCTTTTTATTTTTTTTACTTTTTTTTATTTTTTTTAAGATTTTAATTTATTTGACAGAGAGAGAGACACAGCGAGAGAGGGAACACAAACAGGGGGAGTGGGAGAGGGAGAAGCAGGCTTCCCGCTAAGCAGGGAGCCCGACGCGGGGCTCGATCCCAGGACCCTGGTATCATGACCTGAGCCGAAGGCAGACGCTTAACGCCTGAGCCACCCAGGCGCCCCGACAAAGCCTTTTTAAGATAACACTTGCAGAAAGCAGAAATCCTGTAGCCAGTGTAACAGGATGTGTTACCACAGTGAAAGGGGTGATCTCTGGGCCTGACTCTATGGTCCGCCTCATAGTAACATAAATAGCGCACATTTGCTGTGAGCTCACCATGCGCCGCAGGCTCCACACGCCTCCTCTCATTTCACCCTCACGGGGGCCCTCGGAGAGGTCCTTTGGTTATCATCCCCATTTTACAGATGAGGAAACTGAGAGTCTAAGATGTTAAATCACTTGCCTGGCCTCAAGAACTAAGAGGTGGTGGGGCTTGGACTTGAGGCCTGGGCCCACCCTGGAGCTGCTCCCCGTGCGGCTTACAGCACACTTCCCGGGGCTCTTCTGCCCATAAGAGGGTCTTAGCCGGTCCTTAGTGTGCAGCTTGATCCTTGAGGAGGCAAAAGAACCTTCCAGCCTCACAGAAGTGTCGGGGTGTGGCGGCAGTGGAGGGCTTGTAGGGAAGCTAGCCCTGGGGAGCCCTGTGAGAAGACCCAGCTTAAGCAAAGCAGCCTCGGCGGAGCCTTTGGGCAGACAGAACCTACTAGATTGGGCAGCTGGGAGACAGCCAAGTGGTAGGGGACAAAGCTGGCTGCATCGTCAGCACTGAATGTCAAACAGTGCAGTGACCTCATGTCAGAGCACAAACAAAACATCACTCAGTGCAAAAATCCTTGAACACGGAGGGTTTTCTGTCCTCTTGGATGACCAGTACAGTTGGGCAGGCTTCAGGTCCTTGGAGATGTGCCATACTCGAGTGGCTGTAAATGTGATTTTTTTTTTTCCCCCCAGCAGCAAGCGTCTAAAGTTGAGAAGGTGTTTTTTACCACTGCAGTGCCAGTAGCCAGTAGCACAGGTATGTAATTGTGTGGGAGCTTTAACAGCAGGTCCGCTTTCTGGGCCCCTTGAGGCACAGTTCTTTGTTGCTTTGCCCCAGTTTTTAAAACCTCAAATTTGTCAGATTGTATTGTTTATTTATTAGAGTATTTCACATTCTCACAGCTATTGCAAGTGAGCACACCTACGGCATAAATACCACATTTAACATTCCTTAAGGAGTAATGGTTCTTTCCCTCTCAGATACAGCTTTTAAATGTAACCAGAAGAAAGTCTGACTCACAGTTAATGCCAAAGAGGGCAGCTGTTAATTCACTGGACTCTTTTCTAATTACAGTAATGAAGAAATAGCATCTGGGTCAGAGACTCCTATAGAGCAGAAAGTTCCTTTTTTTTTTTTTTTTCCAAACTATTTTATAGATTAAGAAACGGGGCCCTGAAAGATGAAGTGACTCCTCCGGAATCCTAAGTGAGTTTGTGAGAGCCAGAGCCCTAGTTCTCAGGCTCCTGACTCCCACTCTGTTCTCCTTCCCCTGGTCTCTAGCTTTTTTGAGACACACACAGCCTGTCTGATTTCAGAGTGTGCGTGTGCAGAGCACACAGACACGCACAAAAGAGCGGGAGGATGCGTGAGCACAAGGCTGGCAGTTTTAAGGGGGATCCCCCCAACCGACCGTGTGTCTGAGACTGGGGATGCAAGTGTGAGCAAGAGGCTCTGCAGGAGCTTGATCTTGGGCAGGGGGCAACTCAAGCCCCACGTCCCACACAGTGTGGAGAGAGGTGCGCCCCGTGCACACAGACAGGAGGTTCGTGGGCCGGATGCCCGAGAGCCAGCCCTAGGTGGGAGCCTGCTGGAGTCATGGCCTGGCAGCCTTGGGAGAGGAGGGGATGAGCTGTGTCTTCAGAGGGAAGAAGAGTAAGTTCTCCGGAAAAGCAGCCCTGTGTGGGGAGTTTAGGCAGGAGGAAGAGTCCAGAGGCCCAGAGGTATGAAGAACATGTCAGGAAAAGGGAGGCATCTGCTCTGGCTGGCATGGAGGGCCCAGGGGAGAATGGTTGGAAACAAAGCTGGAGATACAGGGTCCTCTAGACGGTGTGTGTGGCTTTCTGAGGAAAAGGGACTTTGCCTTGGAGGGGACGGGGAGTGTCAGGCAGAGCGAAGCCTGCAGTGTGGCATCCTCCCTCCCCACTGTTCTGCCGCCATGGCATTCGGCACCCACCTAGTCTGTACCCCCCCCGGCCCTCACGGCCCTGCCCGCGGCTGCTTGAGGAGCAGTGTCTCTTGCCTCTCTCGCAGGGAGCTCTGTACAGCAGATTGGCCTCAGTGTTCCTGTGATCATCATCAAACAAGAGGAGGCGTGTCAGTGTCAGTGCGCGTGCCGGGACTCTGCCAAGGAGCGGGCGGCGGGCAGGAGGAAGGGCTGTTCTTCCCCACCCCCTGCAGAGCTGAGCCCCCAGCCTCCTGACGGGCCCAGCCTGAAGCTACCACCACAGACTTTTTCCTCGCCCCCGGGCCCCCTGTCGTCCTCCTCCGCTGTCCCCTCTTCCTGTGAGCAAAGCAGACAAACAGAGACTCCTTCAGACCCTCAGACAGAAACGTTAAGTGCCATGGATGTGTCAGAGTTTTTGTCCCTCCAGAGCCTGGACACGCCGTCCAATCTGATTCCCATTGAAGCACTACTGCAGGGGGAGGAGGAGATGGGCCTGACCAGCTTCTCCAAGTGAAAGGGCCGCACGCGCTCACCTCCAGGAAAGGAGGGCGAGCGGGAAGCAGAAGGTGCGGTGCCCGCCGTCACGGGGGTGGGGTTGGGGGGGTCAGCAGTTCGAAGGATGAAGAAATCTACTGTTTGAAATCCTCACCTTTCAGACGTATTTTCTTTAGTCATATCCCAGGAGTATCCATTTTAAGGAACTGATCTTTGGAGAAAAAAAAAAAAACAAACAAAAAAAAAACAAAACAAAAAAAGCTAAGTTATAAATGAACTGTTTGGCTGCACTGTATGTCACTTTTGCTTATTGTCATGTGAACTTGGAAATTAAGGTTACTCGTTTGCATAAACATTCGAAATGAAAGGGTGTGGCTTCCATCAGTCTGATGCTGCCCATCACTTGCACTGGGATCTCTGTGGTTTGGGCAGCAGAGTTCAGTGTGTCGGGTGTTGCTCCTCCCTGTGCGTCTTCTGAGTCTGAGTCTGAGGCCGCAGCTGGCCCAGACCCTGGCTCCGACAGAGGGGGCGTGGCCAAGGCAGGTCAGACAGCTGTGAGCCTGACAGGGACTGCGTGAGGTGGTTTTGTTGTTTGCTCTTGGTGTTGGTGGAGCTCAGGGTGGCTGTGGCAGGTGTCATCCAGCAGCTGGCTGTGGCCCAGTGGGTAGCGACAAGCCTGGCCTGAGGCTGTGTGGGTGATCGGGTTCTACGGGGGCCCTGGGCGAGCTGTTGACCACTGTCTGTCCGTGCGTGTGCAGAGCAAGCTCTAACCATGTTATCCCAGTCTTTGCTTTCCTGGTTCTTTCCCTCTCGGTTGGCAGCCAGGGCTTGCAGATCGCAGTGAATTTTTCTTGGGGAATGTCCCTGTTTTGTCCTAGAGTGGACATGTGGCTTATGGCCAGTGGTTGGGTGGTGGTCTGCCTGCCTTTAATGGTATTTTCTTCCTCCGAGCAGAAGAGCTGCATTTTGCTTATTGGGAGAAGGTGCAGCTTTAAGGGAGTTTTTTTGTTTTTTTTTTTTTGTTACCTTTTTAAGGCGGCATGTAATTGGCAGGCCAGGTGCCCTGGTTCCAGGTTCTAGCCAGGCTTTTGGTGGCCCCGCCCATCTCCGCCTCTCACCCCTCTGGATTTTGCATATAGTCCTAGTACAGTGCAAAGAAGGATGTGACTTGCTCAGCTTAGTCATGTGATTTCTAAACAAACAAAAACAAAAAAACAAAAACCACAAAACGATGATCTTCTACTCAGGGTAAAACAAAACAAAACAAAACAAAAATCCCCCTTCCACCAAAAAGCCTGAAATGTTGCAATAAGTTATCTCATTTGGAATGTTTCATTAAGTTGTGTTATAGGAAAAAAAATTTTTTTTGATTTGTGTATAGAATTATATCCATCTGTCTGCCTTTGGCTCCAAGTCATTGCCTCTTTAAAATAAAACCTAAAATACAATTCACACTAAAATGGAAAGTTTCTCTCAACTGGCTATATTAACGTAGTCATGAGTGCTCACCAAGCTCACTGAGCTCAGAAATGAGGCCTGGCCCAGGGTCTAGACTAGGCCTCTGCCTCCAAGAGCCCCTTCCCTGCCTTGAGCGAGGAACAGGGGTCCACAAACAAGGCTGCTCTCCTGAGTCAGGAGACAGCAGCCATAATTTTGCCTTCTTTTTCCATTCCCTAACATAAAGAGATCTGCATGTGTCACTCTTCTGTTCTCTGAGCTATTACTCAGGGCCAGCCAAGACAGTATCCAGAGCTGATCATTTATCTGGGGGCCCAGAGGCCCTGCCTTTGACAGAATTGCAGGGACAGAGTTGGACAAGAGAGCAGAAGTAGTAAATGTTGTTACTGCCATGAAGAGAAAAGGACCTTCCCCCCAGGCAGCTGGTGGTTTCTCATTCCAGGAGTCTAGTCTGGAGAATCCATTTCTTTTTGACCTTCTGCACTCCCCTCCCCCAAAGGCTGGAGGGTTCTGGTGACCACTGACCTCAGCAGAAGTTGATAAGGGGGGAGGAATCTTCTATTACCACAGTGGCTTAGTCTTCCTGGAAAACCAGTTGCTGAGTGTGGGTTGTCCTTGGCTGTCTCTGGGTCTTGAACCCATAGGAAGCTTTGAGGCAGGAACCTTGCTGTTTTCGCTACAACTTCTGACAGAGCAACGTGATGGGGTCCCAAAGGTAGCTCATATCAGAGGACATGAATGACCTCCCCACATAGCCAGCCTCGGGGCACCAGGGATTCAGTTCCTGGGAGCTGAGGTGGGAAACAGGAGCCCAGGGAAGGCCATTGGAAGTGTCCGTGGTTTCATGATCTCTTTCTAGTTAGCCAGGGCTGTGCTCCTCTTGGGCCTAGGTAGGTCAGTGGCTTTTCTGCTCTCCAAAGATTGGGGGAGATGAAGAAGCATCTTAAAACAGTATTTAGAATGACAGATTTTTCTAGTGGAAGTATCTGCCTTTTGAGGGTGACTCAAAATTATAAGGGGGACTATCAGAGCCAATTAGCTTTAGAAAAATTGGTAGGAAAAAGAGCAGGTTTTTTTCTACAGGGCAGGCAGTCTTTCCTTCCTCTTCCAGAGCTCTTTCCCTTCCATCACCTCCTGCAAAGCCTGGCCACTGGTGCCAGGGACCTTGGGGAAGAGCAGGCCACTGGCTAAAGTGGAGCTAGAAAGAGCCTTCATGGAGGGTGTGCTTCCCCAAACCCAGGAATGAACCTGTGGTGAGGTTAGGGAAGGACTGCAAACTTCGGGCAGGTGAAGCCAAGCCTTTTTTCTTCCCATGGTAACCTTAATCATTTCTACCTGGTAGATGTATGCTTCCAGCTCCCACTAGCATCTCCAGCTCCACCGCCCCTTTACAGGGTGTCGTCAGCACCAGGGACTGGAGTTCATGGACTTAGGAAGGGGTAGGAAACCGGCTGGCACCCCCAAACTGCCTTAGCGAAGTGGGCCCTTCCCAGCATGTGGGTGGGACATCGAGGGAGAATGGCCCTGCCTCTCCTGGGCGGGGGGCGGGGTCTGGCCAGCCTCATGGGGGCATCACTAGTTTGGTGACAGGAGTTGGTGTCATTTATTAAATTCCATCCCTTTCCCCTTAGAAGGAGATCATGGTACAAAGCCCAGGAGGGGCCTTAAGGTGTGAAGACCTCTCTGGGTAGAAGCCAGGGACTTCTCTCCACCAGCTCTGGGAAAGTCAGTAGATTGGAGTTTTACCTTCAGGGTCAAGGCAGTGGACTGATGGGAATCATGGAGGGTGGGTGGGTTTTCCTGAGAGACTTTGTATAATGCTGAATGTGTCCAGAGGGATGAGTTTGCAGAACCTCATATTGGTATATTAAAGAAATAATAAAATAAAAAAGCACTTTAGGTTATTTTATCTTTAACCCAATTGCTGCAATTTCTTTTGTGTATATATATATATACATATATATACTTTCCACAAAGTTTTATTTTTTGCTCAGAATAAAAAGTTAAATTGAGGTGTGAAAAGAAAAGCACTTACCTTGGTGCAATATGTGTAGCTTGACGGTCGTTGTCCCATGTGGCCCTGGCCTGGCCTCGTTTTTCCACTGGATCAGCCCTGTGCTCTAAGGCTGTCTATAGGGAAACACTATTATGCATTCTCAGCAACTGCTCAATCTATGCAAGCCTTCCCTGTGTGCCCGAGGGCGCCCCCTCAGGCTCTCTGAAGAACTGCTGCGGGTCCTGTTTTCTTCTGCTGACTGTTGAGGCCCTTTCTCATCACTTCTTGGTCCCTTGCCATCTTGCCCCGCCTTCACCATTACAAAGTGATGCCTGAAAGGAAGGAACAGGTTGTTCCTAGGTAGAAACCTGGCACCTTCTAGACTTTTCTATTTGTAATCATGTTCATTGTCCTTAAAGACTTCTCCAGAGTCACTGAAACCATTGCTTTGTGGAACTGCAACAGTATTGCTAGAGTTTACATTTTCCTCCACCACCAATCAGAAATATGTTAGGGAGGTTGTGGTGGTAGTGGGGGAGCGGGCAACATGAGCCATTTCCCTACTGCTCCCCTCACCGTCCGTGCTGGTTCTTTAAGAAAAAATGTCTCCAGCCTTCATTAAATCCAGTAAACAAAGCTGTTAATAATCTCCTTTATTGACTTTCTTCCTTCCCCCATATTCCCCTTTTGTCTTGGAGGGGGGAGTCCCCCGCCATTTTATCTTCCAATTCTCAGGCTACTGTAGAATAGAGAAGTTTTGAAATAACACTTCAGCCAAAGCAGAAGGATTTCCACAGATCAATATGCAAATAGTCCTGCTGTGACATAGATGGGAGATTGTCCATTCCCTAATATTGGGGGTGGAGGGAGGCGACAAAACGGAATTTTGCATATTTCTGGTTGGTAGTTTAGCCTGTTTCCTCTTGCATATTTTGGGGGGACAGGGAGAGGGTCCTCTCACGCCCTTTGGGGAAGCTGATGATCACTCTTTGGGCATTTCTCACTGTTACTCCTGTTCCAGAGGGCTTCTCAGTCTGCACTGAAAAATGCAAATTAAACTGGATCTTATGTCAATGTGTACATAGTACAAGCTTTTTTTACTGGAAGCAAAGTTTAAAACCACACACTGCCCTTTTGGTGGTGTGCCTGCTGGGCCAAAAATTGGGTGATAATGTAGTGTCACTTTCTCAGCTCAATGCAGTTTCTACTCTTTTTTCTTAGGGGAAAATTTTTCATAAAAACTTTTTTCACCAAAACCCAGGGGTGTTTTTTGCAATATCCTTGTTATCCTCGAAGTGGTGCCAAGTCAGAGGCCTCTCTTGCCCTTCTCTCAAGTCCTTAGGCCTCCCCAGGGCGCCTTTGATTCAACAGTCTACATCCTTTGTTGTGTTTTGGAGAATATGGGGGTGGGGAGGTCAGAGTTCAAGGTGGCTGTTACCTTTCCCTGTCAACTCCTCCTGGTCCCTTTTGGGGAAGGTGGCTGGAAACAGGTTTTTGCTGAATCTCTGGCTCACATCTTCTGGCCAGGAAAGGCAAGACCCACGGAGAGCCTTCTTTTTTGACACACACTAGTAGTCATTGGCCAGAGGTCTTGGTGACAGTTTTTTAAATCTCAAATGGTTTTATTTGGATTATGTGAAAGCCTATCAAATTTATTGAAGTGTGAAACATGGGAACAACGGACTTCCACTGAGCGATATGAAAACGTTACAGGTTCAGTACTTCCAAAGGAAGAAACCTCCAAACCCAAAAAAGAGTAAATATGAATTTGTATTTTTGAAGAATGTGAAATAATGGTGTTTGCTTAATTGCTCATTTTGTATAAACTTAATATTGTACTTTAAAATATCTGTTAAGAAGTGAAAATTTAACTTTTTGGAATTGAAAAAGCAATATTAAATACTAATGAAATCCTAATTAAATGCTTATTTAAATCTGGTAGTATCTGTGGCATTTCTTTCCAAACCTACCCATGGTTGACGATTTTCCACTACTTAGCCCACCTCCCCTCCCCAGCTAAGTCTTAGGGGACAGAAAGGAAAGGTCGGTCACCAGGAGAGTCTGCAGGTTTCCTTTTAATCAAGGCTCTGCTAAAAGTGTTTTGTGGGGCTAGGAGCCCCCAGAGCATGAAATGGACATGTAACACCACCTGGATCCCCCAAAGCAGGCCAGACCACTCTGGAGAGCACTGCTGGTCTGCCCAAATCCGGGTAATCAGACTGGGTATTCCTTGGCTACATTTCAAAGCTCAGCACTGCCTTCAGCCAGGATGAAGTGGGAGTGAACCCAGCTGCTAGCAGAGCTGCCATCCCAGGCTGAGAGCCAAGTACCAGCCACTGCCAGTGAAGACTGGCCCCTTTATTGAAGGGAGTTGTTCGAGTCCAGCCACCAGCCCTGGGAGGGAGAGAAGTCAGGGCGCCCATCAGGGATGGTCAGGGCTCCGCAGCTCCATCGCCAGCATCCTTTGGAAAGCCACCTCTGGCGGAGACAGCTGTTTGGGGAGGTGCTCCGGGTTTGGCTGAGACGTTCTGGTTGGAACAGAAAGGAAGAGTGAGGCGGGGAGAAAGGCCTTGGATTAGGCCCCGCAAGGATATGGCCACTTGGCATTCGGATAGCACTTAACTTTTTCAAAGCCTCTCGCCCAGATGAAGGGAGGTTGGGGGTGGGGGGCGGTAAGGCGGTGGGGACACGTCCACCCTCCCGGGGAAGCTAGGGCTTAGCAAGTTCAACCACGGGGCAGTCCCTACCTCCCAGGCCCAGCCCGGGGTGGGCACTAACCCCGCCACCAGCCGGCTCCGGGCGCCGGCGGCCCAGCTGCCGTAGCATCTCCTCGCAGGAGGCGATGGTGTCCAGGAGCTGCCGCTGCCGCTGCTCCACCGCGTCCAGCAGCTGCTGGGCGCGCTCATCCCGGGGCGGCTGCGGGGGTGGCCTCCCGCCGAGCCCCAGCCCCGCCTTCCCACGGTCCACGCCGGCAGCCTCCCTGCCCGGGAGAGAGCGACACACACACGGTCAGGGCCGGCGCTCGCGCGGGGTCCGAGCCCCTTCCCCCCGCCCCGACGGGTCCCCTCTCACCCCCGTGACCAGTCTGAGCCCGGGCCCCATTCCATCTCCGCCTGCGCGGCCCGACCACCAACCCCCTTTCGGCCGCCCCCCTCCCCAGCGCTGCGCTAGGGCTCCGCAAAGCTGCGCCCCGCCCCGTCCCCACCGGTCTCCTTCAATCCTCCTGGGGGTCGCGGTCCCTTTAAGTTGCCCGGCGCGGAGGTGGGGCCGAGCCTCCCCGGCCGGAAGCTGACTGGGCGCGTCACTTCCTCCCGGAAGCGGGGCCGGGCGGATGTCTCCGGCGCGTCGGTGCAGGGGGCTGAGGGCCGCGGTGGCTGCCAGCGTGGGGTTGAGCGAGGGGCCGGGGGGCTCCGCCCGGAGGGGCCGCCTCCTCCGCCCGCCGAGCCCCGCTCCGGCGGCGCCGGGGGCCCGGCTGTTGCGGCTCCCGGGGAGCGGGGCCGTGCGGGCCGCAAGCCCGGAGCGCGCCGGCTGGACCGAGGCGCTGCGGGCCGCCGTGGCCGAGCTGCGCGCCGGCGCCGTGGTGGCCGTCCCCACCGACACGCTGTACGGCCTGGCCTGTTCGGCGAGCTGCTCGGCGGCACTGGGCGCTGTGTACCGCCTCAAGGGCCGCAGCGAGGCCAAGCCGCTGGCCGTCTGCCTGGGCCGCGTGGCCGACGTCTACAGGTGAGGCCGCCCCGACCCGGCCCCGCTGGGGGCGGCACCGCGGGAGGGGCTTCCGGTGACAGGCTTGGGAGACTGAGGCGCAGAGAGCGGGAGGGGCTTGTCCAGGCTCACCCAGGAATCCGGAACTGGAAATGTGTATCGAGCGCTTAACGTCTTCCAGTCCCTGAACGAGATGCTGGGGCGCAGCGATGAACGAGGCAGGCAGGGTTCCTATTCTCCTGGCGTTTTTGTGATAATGAGGGGAGGGGGTCGGGACTCCCACGGTTTAAAAACAACAACAACGAAGGAAACAAACGCGATAGCTGAATTTAGTAGGGGATGCCTGGAAGAAAATGAAACACGGAGCGTGATAACGGTGCAGCTGTTGTAGTCTCGGGGACCAGGAGCATGTGGGCTCCAAGCCGAGGGTGTTCCTCTGGAGCCTCCCTTCTCAAACTCTTAGGGAGGTGAAGAGGGAAGACAGATCCCATTGTAGTCACCAGGGTCCCCTTTTCTAGATCTGACTACCGACTGGAATAGGACCAGCAGCGACCCTTCATTCTTGGATGGATTTGTGCCCTGTTTTCCAGGTACTGCCATGTGAGGGTACCTGAGGGACTCCTGAAAGACTTACTACCAGGACCAGTGACCCTGGTGTTGGAACGCTCGGAGGAGCTCAATAAGGACCTGAACCCCTTTACTCCTGTGAGTCAGATTTTCTCTTGTGTCCCCCAGACTCCTGCCCTCTGGCTTTCACTAGGGTCCAGGCTAGAGCCATTCCCCACCCCTTCCAACCTTTCTGACTATCCCCTTTCCCCTTGCCTCATAGCTTGTAGGCATCCGGATTCCTGACCATGCCTTCATACAGGATTTGGTCCAGGTGTTCGGGGGACCAGTCGCTCTCACCAGTGCCAACCTTAGCTCCCAGGCTAGTTCTCTGAATGTCGAGGTAAGTTACCCAGTCCTCCCCCCAGAAACATCACCAGGCCAGACACAGTTTCCTCTGAATCAGTAGGGTTGATGGTTCACTGGAATGCCTTGCAGGAGGCTCACCCATTTAGTCTGATGGTGGGAAGTCTGTCCGGTTGGCAGGGGTGGGTTGGGGGGGGGATCCAAATTAAAGAATCTTGGAAAGGTTTAATTAAAAAGCTTGAGAGGTAAGGGGGGAGAACTGGTGTTTTCTTCCTGTTGTCTTTTTAATAAGAAACATCATGGTCGGGCGCCTGGGTGGCTCAGTTGGTTAAGCGACTGCCTTCGGCTCAGGTCATGATCCTGGAGTCCCTGGATCGAGTCCCACATCGGGCTCCCTGCTCGTCAGGAAGCCTGCTTCTCCCTCTGACCCTCCCCCCTCTCATGTGCTCTCTCTCTCTCATTCTCTCTGGCTCAAATAAATAAATAAAATCTTTAAAAAAAAAAAAGAAAGAAAAAAAGAAACATCATGGTAAATGTAGTTTTTTCCCCCTTTTTGTGGTGGTAGCTATTTGAAAATATAGTTAGGCAATAAGTCTTTATAACAGTGCTGTAACGAAAGTTAAGACCCCCCAAAAAATTGGGGGGTAGGGGTGTTCTTGTCAGCAAACATTTGACCCATCCAGTGCAGTAACTGGTGGTTAGGCTCCTCCATCCCAAAAGCCCAGGCCTAGCCACCACTGCAGGGTTGTCATGAGTGGTGGTGGTGGAGAGAGCGGGTGATGCTCTAACCCAGTTAACAGTTCAGGCCACGGATTTCAGAGGCGGTATTCTTCCCGTAGCCCAAGGATTGAGTGCTGGTGGCATGCAAGTGCCGAGTCCACCCTGTCTTCCTCTCCCTACCCTTACCCAGAGTTCTCCTGAGATCCAGGAGATGCCCTGGATGAAGTGATTTGCATGCGGTGACCTAGAAATCTAGGCGAAAGTTCAGGGTTGAGCCTACATCTTTGGACACCCACCTAGGACTCCAGCCATTGGACCTATATGTCCCCAGCAGAAGCACTGTGTGGAATCTCCTCTTGGCACAGCAAGATTTTGTTTAAGCTCTAGATAGGTGTTACTTGAGGTGCTAACCTGGGCTGGCTCCAAACCTCATAGGATGCCATGTCCTAGGTGCTAACTGACCTTAACTGAATGAGGTTCCTTCCCTTGCTTCGAGGAAGATGCCTCCTGTTTTAGAAGTGTGCGGTCTTCGTCTCCTTATGAGGGCTGTGTGCAGTATGACATCACTGTAGATGCCAGGGCTAGTGTCCCTGCTTCCTCTCCCTCTCCTCCAGGAGTTCCAGGACCTCTGGCCTCAGTTGTCCCTGGTCATTGATGGGGGACCAATTGGGGATGGCCAGAGCCCCGAGTATCGCCTGGGCTCAACTGTGGTTGATTTGTCTGTACCTGGAAAGTTTGACATCATTCGTCCAGGCTGGTGAGTCTCTTTGCTGTGGCATGGGGATAGAATTTGAGGAAGGTTGGAAGGTGCAAAAAAAAAAGCCTTAACCGAATGAAGATTGGCACTCCTCTCTTGTCCTGAGCAGGGTGGGCAGGTTTGGAGAAGTGGTGGATGGAGGGGCACTAAGTTTGCTGGTGTTTCCTGGCTTTTTGAGGTTTCAAAGGATTCATCACGGGTTTGGTGAAGAGAGCAGAGTTAAGACCAGAGGGTTTAGAGGTCGCTGATCACCAGACTCTGGTGGGCTCGTGGCTTTGAGAAGTCAAACTTGAACTGCCTCCATTTCTTCCTCAGTGCCCTGGAGAGTACTGCAGCCATCCTCCAGCAGAAGTACGGGCTGCTCCCCTTGCACTGATCCTGCTTCTGCATCTCAGGAAGAGGGGAGAGCCCGAGGACTGGTGCTAGACACTGTGTGTCTGTCCGCTGGGGACTGGCAAGGCCTCATTGACAGAGGCCACTGGGGCTGCGATGTCACTAGTCTGACTCTTTAAGGCACTGCCTTTTTTTGAACACTGTAGACCAAGCCCCAGAAGCTGCTGGTTTCGTCTCACACCTGATGGGGAGGTCATATTTATTATCTGTAATTTTAAATATCAGCCAAAAGCTGACATAGAGACTTTATTTGAGAACATTCCTAAGATGGCCTTGTTCTAATAAGTTTCTTTTTCAGAAGTCTTTTTTGAAAAATAATTTGAGGAACAGATTCGGAATCCAGTTGGAGCCCCCTGTCTGGCGGGTAGTGGCATTTAAGGTCCAAATCAGCCAGAGCACCAGCTGGTGCTGTTTAAAAGTCTCCAGTGACCAAAGGCATGTACTTAGGCACCTGAAGCTGGAACCATAGTAGGATAAAGACTGTTGAGCCACAGGCCCGACACTATTTTCTCTGAACTGGAGAGGCCGGTGGTGTGGTGTGCCAGAAGGCCTGGTGGAGAGAAGTCAGCATTTTGGACTAAAGGTGAGAAGTGAGCTCAGTTGGCAAGGGGCGAGGGTAGGGAAGTCCAAATCAAAGAATACTGGAAAACAAATCTCCACTGCTCTTTTCAGCTAGTAGCTTTTTTGTTATTTAGTTGTAAAATAAATTATAATGAGTTACGCCTGTAATACCTTTATTTGAATCCAGTGTGTACTCAAAGCCTTTATTCATATGTATACCAAGTGTTAAACAGAATTATTCTTGACTATTTGAACCTTGTTTTTCTTTAATAGGAAATGTTTTGTAGTTTATTTTTCTTCCTTTGAATTATTCCTCAGGGGTAGGATTACAGGGTCAAAGTGTATGAACATCTTTATGGCTCTTGCTATAGTTTAGCCTTCGAAAGAACTCATCAAGCTGCAGTGAATGAGAATTACTGCTCCTGGCCCCGAGCTTGCCATGCTTTTAGTATTTTTCAAACCGTGTATGTGTGAAATGAAGCCTCCGTGTTTCTCCCTTCTGTAAAGTACTACGGGTCACCGTCCAGCGCTGTGCTCCTGATCTGCTCTGTCCATTGTGGCATCCAGTGCCCATCACCTCACTGGAGCTGGGGGTCCCGTAGTAATCCATAGGCCCCACTTCCTCCCCTCCTGCCTTGCACCCCATTCCCACAACCGGGATTCAGACTTGAGCCCATAAAGTAATGCACATATTTCCAAGTAGCTCCTAAATCTTGCCAAGGTGTTCCAGGGCCTGCTTTAAGGACCCCCACAATGAGTATACTCGTTTATTTGTAAATAAGCACTGTTAAATATCTCCACTAAAAATCTTGATTACACTCCTGGTTTCTGAAGCAAACTCACTCTTCATTGTGCTGACACTGGCCAGCCCATCTTACGTGTCAGTTTGTCACGGCATTTGAGGGAGGGCTCAGAGTCCAGGAAGGCTTGAAGAGAGCAAAAGGAATGCTTACTTGAGAAGACCATGTCATATTTAATTAATAGAAATCACAGTAGCACTGAAAATGGCTCTACTGAGTGGGCCTCATTCGGTTTAGGCAGCTAAAGGGAGGGAGGATGTCCTGGTCCTCTCCCTGGAGCTAGATGGTCATCTGCGGAAATGTGGGCTCTGGAGCACAGAGGTATTTTCTTAAGAGGGAAAAAAAAAAAAAAACCAAAACTCTCAGCATTGGAGAAAACTGCAAAAAAAGGAAAAACTGTGCTCAGGCACTAGCTACAAGGCCACGCCAAATAAGGAAAGCTGGATCCTGTAAGCTTCTGGAAGAAAGGAACCTTTCCATGTGAAGTCTCTAGCACATATTAGGTGCTCTGTCAGTATGTGTTGAATGAATGTACGAAGGCTCAGGGTTATTTCCTGATCGTTGTGTTCAGGAGTCTACTGGGAAGGGCTTAAACCTAGAATTTCCCTCTTGGGAAGTCTCAAATGTGATTCCCTCACTTGGGAGAAGACAGAAGAAGGCTGAAGAGGCAGCAGGACACGTGCTTGCCCAGAGCCCTGACCCCTCCTAACAGCAGTGACCTGGGGACTGCTACGCAACACCAACCTGCTGAGTTCCAAGCTCAAAGGGATCATTTTAAAGTGTTCCGACAGGATGTGGAGTGGCCCTGGGCTGAGTCGAGTCACCTGCCAGCCTCTCTGGGGCCCTCTCTGGAACCCTGCCTCACTTCCTGTCCCTGCAGAGCCCCCCGGCCCCACATGCCTGAGGAACAAGCTTTGTTCCACATGGGCCCAGGCTCGATGGCCCACCCGGAGGCGCCCCGCTGCTGACTGGGGGACCAGTGAGTGCCTCCAACCTCAGCTGAGCCCCACACGGTGACACCTTCCAGGGAGGCCAGGACATTGGCACCTCATGGCCCCAGCTCCTCACATCAGCCACTGCTCCTTCTCTTTGATGAAGTGCTCTGCCCAGCGGCGAGTCAGCTCCAGGTACAGGCTGGGCTGGTGAGGCAGGTAGTCCAAATACAGCCGCGTTGGCGTCTTCTTGGGGATGGCCTTCTCGATCTGGGTGCCCTCGTGCCACTCATTGAAAGACGTGATGGAGACGATCTCAGGCCTCACGGTCAGGGCTGCCTGTAGGGCTGTCTCATAGTACTTGCCATTGACCCTGTTCCGAGTATTGTGGTTGTTCCAGGGCCGGATGCTGGTGTCAATGTAGCCAGGCCCCACACTGGGGATGAACATGAGGTTGTGGGCATCACAAAAGCTCTTCACAGCCTTCCAGTTCTGATGGGAGGAGCCGAAGGAGAAACCGTTGGAGGCAAAGTAGGTATACATGCCATCAAACCCAGCAGCCAGGATGTCGTGGGTGTGGCCCTCCTCCACCAGCAGCGCGATGAAGACCCCATCGTAGGGGGTGTTGCGGATCGAGTGGGGCCCGTTGGGTGTCAGGAGGTAGGCCCAGGCCTCAGGGGATGTCAGGTATGAGTCGTAGATATAAAAGAGTGGGAGGCTCTTACCCATGCTGTTCTTATAGCGGTAAAATGCACCATGGGAGCCATACCTGAGGAGCGGGAGGGAGAAGAACCTGAGCTGGCGGCCGAGGAGGGGGGCAGCCAGCACAGCTGTAGGACAAGCCACAGGCCAGATCGTTCCTGATGCCCAAGTGCAATTTGGGATCCAGCCTGTCCCCACGCTTGCACTCCTCATGCCCCTGAGCAAGAACCTAGTTCCCACCCACATCTCCCCAGCCTCAGCCTCCCTCCATTCAAGCCTCACTTCCTTGTCCCACACCACACCACCCCGCTCCTCCATTGGGACAGAAGCAGCCAGCTAACCAGTCTCCAGGCTCCTGCTTCTGGTTCCCTGTGATCCACTATCTAAGGCATGAACCAGATCTGCTTGCTCCTGACTGAGACCTGCAAGGCCCCTCCAACTTGATCTGGCCCTGCCCACCTCCACCCCTTCTGTTACCCCATCTCCACACACCAGCTACATGGACCTCTTATTCTGCTGTCAAGCTTGTCCCGTCATGAGCCTTTGGATCTGACAGCCCTCTGCCTGGAATTTTCTGCCTGCCCCAGATCTTTGCAGAGCTGACTCTTCCTTCAGGTGTTAGCTCACACGTCCTCTCCTCAGAGAGGCTCCCTTGACCACCGGTTCTGAAGTCTAGCACCCATTCTCAGGCGTGCTCTAACATAATACCCTGCTCTATTCTTAATTATCACTTTCTAATCACATGGGTCACTATGTGACTTTTCATGTGTAACTATTGTCCACCTCACTGCGGCCACACGTTAGAATGTAAACCTCGCCAGTCCTACCCATGACTGTACACCCGGGGCTGAGGACAGTGCCCGGACACCTGAAGGCACTCAAGTACTTTTTGAGTGAGTGGATGAAACCTGCAAGCACAGTACAAGCCACTCTCCCATATATTAACTCCTCTGACTCTCACAAGACTCCAAGGTTAAGAGGCTTGCAACAGATCACAGATTGGAGGCTGCAGAACTGAAATTCAAACCCAGATTGCTGACTCCAAGCCTAGTACTCTAATACTAGGAAGTAGCTGCTGAGGACACTGGCATTCTGCCCTGGTGTCTCTCGACCTACCCCTCTAAATCTATCCCCTCCCCCTTTTTGATCCCCATTGAGATCCAGGCCCCACAGCAGCCTTACGTGTCAATGATGTACTTGATGTTGTCATGCAGAGTGATGTCATCCCGGCCCTTGTAGGGTTGGATATGGAAGGCCACCTGCCACAAACAGAGGAGGTACTGGTCAGGTGAGTAGCTGCCCAGGGGCCACAACCTATAAGGCTCATGTTTCCACTGGGGCTTGGAGGAGGAGTCCTGGCAACAGTGGGCATAACAGAGATAAAAGCAGCCACTGCCCTTAGGGTCAGAAAAAGAGTGCCAAGAAGGCTGGCCACCTCCCACAGCAGGGCATCTGGGAATCATTCTGATGGGATGTCACTGGATGGCTAATAGGTCTGAGCTTATGTGCCAGCTCCACGTGATTGGCACTAGCTGTCTGAAACCATGGGAAGAAGTTTGCGGAAGCTGTCAGGCAGAGGTGCTCTGATCTGTTAAACATGTTGGTGATGGGCTCAGGAACGGGGTGGGGCTCCTCTCTGCTGTTTCTCTTCCGTCACCACAGGAGAGGGGAATGACTTATTTGGTTCATTTGGGGAAAGTAACTGGACATGCTTAGCTCCGCTCCATCATTCCTCTTGAAAGTGCACCCGCCTGCCTGTACTTTACTCCTAGAGGCCCAGCACTGCCTCCCACTAGGGATTTGAGACGTTTGGTTTCTGGGCCCGTTTGGCCCTTGCCTGCTCTCTATCCAGAGTCAGGGTCTGCAACCTAAATCTATCACAGTGATACTTATTCAATCTTCCATTTCTCCTATATTTAGTTTTCCCAATTTTCCCCCCAGAATTCAAGAAAATAACAGTGACAGGTGCTATTTATTAGAACCTCACCCCCCCCCCCCCCACACACACACATACCACTTGCTGTGTATTTGCCATACCTGGGCTAAAGCCAAAAACTAACCCTGTGGGCAGAGAAGGGGAAATCTCCAGAATGGGCCAAAGAGCACCTGACCTCTTCTTTGGACACTCACCTGGATGTTGTACTGATGGGCGGTGTCGAGAATGGCGGGTACCAGGTCGTCTGAGGGTTCCCCGTTATCATCAGCCATGCCAGGTGGGTACCAGGACAGGACCAGGACGCCTGAGACACAACACAGTAGCTACTTCAGAGGCACACAGTACCCCCGCAACAGAGATGCGTTTCCTCCCAAACCGTCTCCAACTGCAAAATGGTTTTTGAATGAAACCTTGAGCGAGGCTCCTGCCAGGTTCACTTCCTGCGGATCAGATGCCAGAGCCTAGCGTCCCGGAGCTGTCCACGCCCGCGGTGCTGAAGCGCCGCGGCAGCGGGAACCTTTGCGCACCAGGCGGGAAAGGAGCCTGAGAAAAGCCAGGACTCAGACTTCCGCTTGCATCCGCAAGAAGTAGAACAAAAGGAAATAGTGGATAATGCCACACCCATCTGGAAGCCACAGTCCTCTCTCTGGAGAAGAGGGGCCCCTCTAAGGTCCCGCAGGGATAAGAGCCCCACGCAGAGGTCCTCTGATGCTTCCCGAGGGAAATAACATTTGTCTCGTAAAATCCTGAGGGGTAGCCTCTGTGTTATTTATCTGTGAATACCTCCCACCATTGTCTCTGTCATTCAACCCCTCTCCCCATTCACTAACCATCTCTAGATAAATTGAAATGTGTTCTAAACTCCAGGAGAATTCAGTGACACAATCCGAAAGAAGTGAGCCTCCCCACCCGAGCCTGCCTACAAAAGAGGCTCCCAGGGACCTCTTTGCAAGCAGAGTACTTGAAGAAAAGCTCCTGCCCCCCTACTGCAAACAGCAGGGTCCAACATGGGCAAACTTTCCTTCCTGCAGCCAGCAAAAACTGGAAGGGTTGGTGCCCTATCTTGTATCTGGTGTGAAAGCATTGGCCATCCCAGGCGTGGCTCCTCTGAACTCCACTCCTGCAGGGCCAGGATGCCCAGTCCTCACTTACCAAGCCTAGAAGCCCAAGAGACAGGAAGACTTTCTCCTTCTCCCTGCTGTCCCTACTTGGGACAGCTCGGAGCAAATGCCTTCTTCCACTGGCCCTCCCGGCAGCTCCGCCCTATGAAAGGGCCCTGCTGTGAGGGGTCAGATGGCAGAGATGGGGAAGTCAATACCAGGAGTTGGGGGGCGGCGCCACGCGGTAAGCGCTGAATGAAAATAGAAGGGAGGGAGTAAGAAGCTAGGCGGAAGGGTGAGTGGGATCAGAGGCCCGGTGACAGGACCAGCGGGAGCTGGGGTGTGGAAACTGAGGAAGGGTGAGGCTGGGGAACAGGGCCGCCCGGGGGTGGGGGGAACTCACCGATGGCGGCTTCCTTGAGCTGGGTCATGTGCTCCCGCAGCACCTCGGGGTCCCGGGAGCTGTAGGGCCCCAGCTCCGGGTAGAAGCTGGAGCCCAAGTCGTCGGGAGGACTATGGCGGCCGCGGGGATAGCTGGCCGAGATCTTGGGGTCCCAGTGAGGCACCATGACGTGGTCCCAGTGAATGTAGTGGCCCTCGCGCCGCGGGTTCCCGTACCAGGAGTAGTAGAAGGCGTGCAGGTCCGAGTAGACGCGCAGACTCTGCCCGGGGGCGGGCTCGGCCTCCGCGGGAGCCGGGCCCGGGGGACTGCCCGGGCCAGCGGTGCGGGGCGGCGGCGGCGGCGGGGGTGGCGCGGCGGGGGCGGCTGGGGCCCGGGCGGCGGGCGCGGGGGCTCCCTCCGGGCGTCGCTCAAAGGGCGCCAGCTCCAGGCCCGGGCCCAGCGCCGGGAGTCCGTCTGGAGCCTTGAGCGTGCGCAGGCCCATGAGGGTGCCGAAGGCGAAGAGCAGCACCAGGAACAGCGCGATGCAGGCGCGGCGCCGCCGCCGGGCCATGGCGGCCCCTGCGCTCCCCGCTGACCGCCCGGCTACCTCCCCGCGCGCCGCGCCATGGCTGCCCGCCCGGCTCCCGCGCGCCGCAGAGCCCGCGCGCGTCCCAGGGAGACGGCGACGCCGAGCGCCGAGCGCGGCGTGGGCGGCTCCCCGCCTCTCCCCCGCAGTGCGGGCGGGCCCGGCACACAGCGAATGCAGATGGCGCAGACCAAGTGGTCAGGAGCCGAGGGGGGAGTGGACGAGAGGAGAGGCGAAGAGTAGCAGAACTGCGAGTTCCCGGGCAAAGGAGCAAGGGCCTAGTCAAGCTGTGTGGCTCGGGGAGCATTTGTCGCCTTTCGGCCCGGGCCAGTGGCGTAGAGGCACCCAGTGGAGGAAAGGGAATGCCCTCCTTCCGGAGCCCAGGAGAAGGTCGGGGCAGCGGCGGTCAACGGTGTGTGGGAGCAGAGGGCAGGGTGGGGAAGAATGCGACTGTCAGTGTCCGTCTCTCTCTCCCAGGATCTCCTTACCCACTCATCCCTCTTTACTGACTTCACTGACAGCCTCTGTACTCATCTCAGTGACCTCCCTTCTTTGCATTCGGCCCCCATCCCTCGGACTCCCTCTCCCACCCCAGGCAGCCTCTGAAGCTTGGGGCGCCGGGGAACCCCCAGGGATCAGACGCTACAGACACTGGCTAGAGCGTGGAAAGACGAGGGAGACCGTGACTTGCACAAAGTCACACGGACCCGGCCTAAAACCAAGGGTCAGGACTGGCTGGAGGGAGCTCTTGTCACTGGCCAGACTGTTTGTCCTTGCACGAACTCCTAGAATCGGTTGAGGACTATATGAGATAGTTACCCAAAGTCACTTTATAGAGGGCCTGACAAAATTACCACTCAGTCCATGTTCGCATTCTTTCTGGACTCAGCTCCAGAGGGCTGGCCCTGGGTCGTTATTTACCCTTCTAGATTCCAAGGGGGGGCTGCAAGAGCAGGGTCTGACAGTTCCCAGGGCTCTCTGCTGCGTGAATACCAGTCTCTGGGCTGATAGTCTCTAGGCAATGATAACCTTTTCACTCAACACTGAGTTCCTACTCCGCATTATTCGTTATTTCATTTATTCAGAAAATAGTTTTGTTTGTTGTCTGCCTCCTTCACTGGTCCATGAGGACAGCAATCTTGTTTCAGCAACTGCTCTAGCTGCAGTGTCTACGACAGAGCTTGGCATAAGAGTAGGTACCGGATTCTTCTTTCTTATGTGAAAGAATCATAGGAAATGGAGGAAGAAATCCCAGGAAGAGGAGGAGCAAAGTTGGGAAATGTGGGTAGGTCTGGAGCCCAAGAAAGCGAGTTTGAGAGAATTCATAGTAGTGAGTGTGAATTAAGTAGGATGCTGGCATCTCCAAGCAGCAGGCACCTGATTCAAGCTGGTTTATGCAGTTTGGAAATGTATCATCTCACAATGCAGGAAATCCAATGGTAGGGCAGACCCTGGCTCACCAATTCAGAACAATTAGGAACCTGAGACGCTTCCGTCTCACTGCTCTACTGTGCCCACCATTGACTTCATACCGAAGCTGGCTCCCCTCATATCACAGAATGACTGCTGGGGGCAACTGAGGCAGCATGCTCCCCTTTCCCATCCAGCAGGCAACAGTAAGACTGATTTCTCTTTCCCAGAAGTCCTAAGCAAGCTTCTCCTTAAATCTCACCCGTCTAATCTGACTAAGTCCTCTTCATCCCAAACAAATTGTTGCCAAGGGGGATGGAACTACCATGACTAGATTAGATTAAATGTTCAGAGATGATTAAATGTTGGGGAGAAGGCCATGATGTCTACCGTGGAATTAGATGACTCGAAATGAATAAGAATGCAAAGAGAAAAAGAATAAGGATGGAACTTTCAGGAACACCAGCATTTATGCATTGGGCAGAGAAAGGACAGCAAAGCTGAGGAAGAATCAGGAAAGAGGAAGTAGTGATGTAGTTTTTGGTTTTGGGGTTTTGGTTTTTTTTTTTTTTTTTTTGGAATGTTGTTGTGTGTTGGTGGAGTCCAGAGCCGGCAGCCAAGGAAGAATTCTTAAGATGTCTTTGGTGCAAAATGGTGGTTTTATTAAAGCACAGGGACAGGACCCATGGGCAGAAAGAGCTGCTCCCTGCTGCTCCCAGCTGCCCTGGGATTGTGAGGTGCAGTGATTATATACATTGGGGTTGGGGAAGTAAAGATAAGGGAAGTTCCAAAAGGACTTTCATATGCTAAAGAAGACTTGCAGGATCCTGGAGGAATGTTATAATCTGCCTATTTTAAGTATTTGTCAATGGGCTGCAGGTTATAAGGACATTTAATTTTATCTACATTTCCTTCTGCCTTTGTTTCCCACATCAGTTAAGAGAAGTGAGAGTGGATGTCAATGGTTTTAGAAAACTAGTGGAGCTTTCCCCATCTCTCAGTCATTCCCCTACTTCTGGAAATGCCCTGCAATATAATGGTGGCTTCCCCTGGCCTGGAGGCCCTGACATTACCACCCAGCCATACTTTGATCCGGGGCTAGAACCCTGACCCACAAGGAACCAATGAGAGTGCCCTGTTTCCCATTGTACCAATCACAGACACCAACCCAAGGGTCATCAATTACAATCCTTCTCTGGGATTTTTCTCTCTGTTGCTGAGGGTAGATTCCATCTTTTTCTCTAAAAGTAATACCATTAGGGAAGGAACAAGGAACAGAGAGGAACTTAGTGGTATTGGATCCCTGATCTTGGTTTTCCTTGAGGCCTGGTTTTGGTGTGAAACACTGAAATAATCTTCCAGTAAATTAATCTTTCATTCTGAGCAAGATGAGTTCATGGAGTCGACTTTACCGGTTGCCTGTCAATCTCAAGTAGAGATTGATAAAGGGACTTGGGAGAAGGGCGGGCATTTGGAAGGTAATCAGAGGAAGCAAGAGCAAGGAATCGAGGAGAATGGGACAAAAAAACAAGAGGCAAACGAGTGAAGGGTACATTATGGAGGTTTCTGCTACAGCTAATGGGGCTTTGAGTCTGCCTTCTAAGAAGTGTACAAATGCCTCCCAGAATTACAAGGTTAAAGCTAAAGCAATTATCTCCTGGCCCCCATCATCCACGGGTCAAGTGTTTTCCTTAGGGCTGTTAACTTCCTCACCCTTCTGGTCTCCTTTGTGCCATCACATCCTGTGATGTCAGAGAAGGTCCTGAGGCAGGCATAAAGACAGACAGACACATCGTAGGTTTGAAGTGGGATGCTGCCAGGTAGAGGTAAGTCTGGGCTTAGCAGAACTGTCCCTCCTAACTGTACCATCCAGAAAAAACAGACTTAGCAGCTTAAAACAGCAGGAAAGTGTACTATCTCACAATTTCTGTAAGCCAGAAGTCCAGGCACAGCTGGTTTTCTGCTTAGTCTCACAAGACCAAAATCAAAGTGTTGGCAGGACTCTGCTCCTTTGTGGAGGCTTTAGGAATGGCTCCGAATCCCAGATGGTTGGCATAGAACCTTAGTTCTATGGAATTGTAGAACTGAAGTTCCCACTTCCTTGCTGGCTGTCAGGTGAGGGTCTTTCTCACCTTCAAGAAAAAGGCTGCCTGCATTTCTTGATTTGTGGCTGCCTTCCTCCATTTTCTAAGCCAGCAACGTCAGGCTCAGCCCTCACACACTGAATCTCTCTGACTTCCTCTTCTACTCGGAAGAGCTTGTGTGATACATCAGACCCTGTTGGATACGCCAGGATAATTTCTGGTTTTTGTGTTTTTTTAATTTTTTTTAATTTCTCTGTTTTAAGGCCAACTGATTAGTAGTAACCCTAATCCCAACGGCAAAGTCCCTTCGCAGCAGTAACTCTATTAGTATTTGGAGGAATAGCCCAAGGACAAGAGTCTCAGGGGCAGGGACAGCTTCAGAAATCTTACCTCGGAAACTGTTGCTGGAGTGAAAGTGAGCCAAGGGCTTGTGACTTGTGGCTTCACGGTTGTCCGTTACACCCAGTCTATCAGTTAGAACGCGTTGGGCTCTAGATAAGAAGGGAGATAGCTACATATGGCTAAAAGCAGTGCTTCTCCAACTTGAACATCATATCAGTCCTTTGGGGACTTTGTTAAGATGCAGATCCTGATTCAGTGGGTCCGGAGTGAGGCCTGAGATTCTGCATTTCTTTTTCTTTCTTTTTCATTTCTAATAAGATCTCAGGTGGTGCTCATTCTGGTGGCCTCAGACCATACTTTCGTACTTAAAGTATAGTGAGCTTATGACCCCACATTCTGAGGAGTCTTTAGATAGGCTGGTTTTAGAGATGGTTAAACCCAGTGGTTCAGAGACACCGGGGCATCATATCGTCTTATCTGTGGTTTCTTTGGCCTTCCCCTCATGGCTGAAAAAGGATGGAAGCAATTCCAAGCATCACATTCCCACCTGACAATATCCAGATGCAGAAGAGGAAATGGCTGTCTTATTTTTTTCTTTTAGGAAGAAAAAAGAAGTGACATGCCCCCAAGGATGTAGAATTAGAATAGCCATGGGAGCCAGAAGACAGGGGAGAATTACCTCCAAACTTCTGAGGGAGAATAACTTTGAACCTAGAATTCTATAATCAATTTAACAAGTGTGAGGGGAGAATAAAGACATTTTTATGTATCCAAGGTCTCAGGTTTTTTTTTTTTTTCTCCTATGCTCCATTTCTTAGGAAGCCACCAAAGGATATAATGAGAAGGTAAATTTTAAAAAGTGAGGGGAAACTTGGGATCTGGCAAAAAAAAAATCTAACACAGAAGAAAAGCTTTGGGGAGCCCCAGGGTGACAACTGTGCAAGTCCAAAGAGCAGTCTGCCCCCAGAGGAGTGGAAAGATAACCTAGGGCAGGTTTGTCCAGGGAATGACTGAAATTGATAGACATCCTGATATACAACCCAGTCCCAGCTTTCTTCTGTGGCTGTGTCATTATTTTAGGTTAAATCACTAGTAGATACATTATATTCTATAATACTTTCCACTATTGAGCCAAATGTGAACTATGATTATATTTCCTTTCTTGTATAATTCTTGTTTCTCCTGGAGTTAATAATTCCCCCTTTCCCCGTTATTTG